CACCTCTCCCGAAGCACCAGGATTAGAGGCCCCTCACTCCCACCCTAAAACCCCACCCTAGGACCCCTCCCCGAAGCACGAGGAGTAGAGGCCCTCACCCCCACCCACGCTGGGACCGCATCCCGAAGCACGAAGGATTCGAGCCCTTTACCCCGGAAGCATGAGGGATTGGCGGCTTCTGAGCACACTCGGCCCGGAGGCGGCGGTTCCGGAGCGCATACATTTTTAAAAACCTATCGTGCGAGAATGGTGTTTGGCTCACTATTCAGCGGCTTCAGAATGGTGTTTGCAAGTGGGGGGGGGGGCGCAAATGCTGCTATTTACAGTATATGCAGCCTGTGGCAACGCAGAAATGCTGTATTCACAGTATTTGCAGACGTTGGCAACGCAGACATGCTGTGATTGACAGTATTTCCGCCTCTGCAAACGCAGAAATGTTTCAATTTGCAGCACTCGCAGCCGAACCAAGAACCAAGGCCGAGCCACACCTTTGCAAGGGAAACATGGCCGAGCGCTTTGCAACAAAAACTTCCGCTCATGTATGGAGTTGGGGTCGACAACAAAAGATCGCATGATGGCTTTGAGACAAAATGTTCTTTCAAAGCTCTGTGCATCTAAACGAGCCGGGGGGTTGGGGCGCAGCCCCCCCCATTTGCAAACACACGGGTCGCATCAGGTTTTTGAAAAAACTGCACGGCTTAGAACGGGTGTGCACAATGCTCGCATCATGGGTTTGGAGATTCATACCCCCCAAAAAATGTGCTGTCTATATTGTATAATAAATAAATTACTAATAAGTAAAAAAAGAAGTGAATAAGTAAATATATGTATATATAGAGTTTGTGATCTATAATATGTTTTCAAAACCTATATGTTATAGTTTATTCTACGTAGAATACATAAAACACAACACATATTTAGTATATAATAAAAACTAGTTATGTGATATTATATATTATAATATATTATATTATATTATATCATATTATATTATATTATACTATATTATGTTATATTATATTATATTTTATCTTATTATAATATATTATATTATAAAAAATTAAAATATATTATATTATATTATTTTATTTTATATCATATTATATTATATCATATTATTTTATATTGTATCATATTATATTATATCATATTATATTATATCATATTATATTATCTCATATTATACTATATCATATTATATTATACTATCATATTATATTATATATATTATATTATATCATATTATATTATATCATATTATATCATATCTATATTGTATCATATGTATAAATATAGATATAATATTATATATATCATATTATATTATATCATATTATATCATATTATCATTATACGATATCATATTATATTATATCATATTATATTATATCATATTATATTATATCATATTATCTTATGTCATATTATATTATATCATATTATATTATATCATATTATATTATATCATCTTATATTATATCATCTTATATTATATCATATTATATTATCTTATATTGTATTATATTATATTATATTATATTGTATCATATTATATTATATCATATTAAATAATATCATATTATATTATATCATATTATATTATAATAAATTATAACATATTATATTATATTATATTATACTATATTATATTATATTATATCATATTATATTATATTATATTATATTACATTATATTATATATATTCTTATAAACCTTTTTTGCATGTATTAAATATGTATATTGTCTATATATTATCACATATTTTATGATAATATGTTATACTACAGAACTTATTCTACTATTGTTACACAAAGACACAAATACAACCAAAATCTGACTGCGGGACCGGGAAACACGGGACCAGGGGACCATACCACATGCCTCACTATACTCCCAAACGCCTCAAACCCCGAAACCCGGGTAGGCCCCTCTGCGTTTTTTCATTCCTTCTTTCATTCATTCTGTCATTCTTTCATTATTTCTTTCTTTCCTTTCCTTCTCTCTTTCTCTTTCTTTCTCTCTTTCTTTCTTTCTTTCACTCACTCACTTAGAGGGGGCCAAGTGTATGAAGTCGCAAGCGGCCCTGGAGAGGCCCTGAGGCTCGAACAGGACGTAAAGAGAGCCTTCACGGGGTGTGAAAAAGCTCTCCTAGGCCTCATAGGGTGTTTACCGCCCCCCGTGGGGCTTCATTCTGGCCCTGCGCCCCCGAAGCGCGTTTGAAGCTATTAAGGGGGCCATTTGCATCCCATTAGCGAAGGGTGGGGGGCTTTTTTTGAGACCTGTCCGGCCGGGGGTCTCGTGCAGTGATCCAAAAAAAGCCCGCAGTTGGGTCGAGAAAGCTTTTTTCGGGACATGGGGCGTCAAACAGTGGCCCGTTAAAAGCCCACCGTCGGGTCGAGAAGGGTTTTTTTCGGGACGTGTAGGTGGCACGGGAGGCTGGGTCCGGGCTGCACAGGGCGGGATTAAAGCCCTATCAAGGCAATTTATGGGGGGGTGCATGACTGCGCCGCAAGCTCACCCGGTATGCCGAGTTCGCGCAGGAGGTCGAGCGCCAGGCGCGGCATTTGGGCGGTGAGGCATGTGAGGCTCTGCTGGACGGCGTAAGGAGCTCCAGCTGGCGGGGCAAAGTATCCGCAATGTTGCAGGGTCTAGCTGGGTTGCTGGCCTTTGCGAGGAGGCAGAAAACAGCATGCGCAGGAGCGTCTGGCGGCGAGGGTATGCGAGGGTGGGAACTGACGGGTCATTGCTCCGTGGCATCGCGGATGAAGCGACCCCACTTGGCCGTCTGGCCCCACCTGGGCCCCACGACTCGCGGGCTAGTCGGACCCACGGTGTCTCAATCCGTCTGGCGAGCAGGCCCAGCAGGCGAGCAGTCGCCATCTGCATAAGGCTCCAGCAGTGGCCCCGGCAGCACGGTCCGCTTTGAAAGCGCAACATCCGCTTTGTGCACGATTTGTGTTTGCACGCCTGTTCGCCGACCGTCCAACCACGGGGTCTCAGCCCCCTGCGAATCAGACAGCGTGCTCTAGCCATGCAAGTGCAGGCCTCAGCAAGCCCCTCCACGCCCGGCGACTCACAAGGCAGTGGAGGAGCTCGTGCAAAGTGGGCTCAGTTGCCCCAGCAACTGCCTTTGACTAACCGAAGGTGTAGCATGGATGCGGAAACAGCAGGCCGGGCAGCGACGGCAGAGATGCATTGGCCTGGGCGGCAATGCCTGTGCTTGACCAACAGCTTTCATAGGCATTATAACGTGGCTGTATTCCGAACTTGGGCTGTGCAAAACCCGGGTCTTGCGGTTTTATCCACCGCACCTTATCACATCAAACACATATTCGTTTTTCGCAGCCAAGTCTGCTGGGTGGGGGTGTCTCGCGCCGAGCGGGAAGTGCCAGATACTGCCAGCCTACGTCGTGTGGGGTAGCAAGGCCGAAGGACGGGTCGAGCGGTGGGTCGTGGCCAGCACCTGTCCGTGGCGCGGGCGCAACGGCGACATCGCGGACAGAGAGAAAGGAGCTAGCGACGGCTTGTTGCAACACCGCCGACCCGAGGGGCTATTGTTCGGTTCGGGAAATTTCAGGAACGGATCCGACTTCGAAATGTGACGAGGGCGCCAAAGAGCTGGTGAGTCTGCACAGCAACCATTACAGTCTTACTCCGATGTTTGCAGCTACGAGGATCTCCAGATGTCGCTGGCTCTGCTGCATAAAGGACTTTCCAAAGCCGACGGGTTTGGGGAGGACGCTGTCAGGTGGCGGCTTGCGCTTTACGAGCTTCTTGCCGAAGTTGTCGCTGCATTTTTTGCTGGTTGTTTCTGTGCGACGGGCCACCTACTTTGTTGATATGATTGAACCTGAGTCTGGTCTGGGCCCTGTGTTCGGACCATCTTGGACTGCAGAGAAGCAGAAATGTGCTCCAGCTCTGCGCACGCAGGTCTGGCTATGTCGCTGCTGGATGACTAGGCCTAGGCCCTTTTGCGGCTTGCAGCCGCATCGAGAGTTCCAGGACGCTTGTATCTCTACTTGTTCCTCGTTGTTGGCAGCACGTTGACGAAATCGTTTTAAAGTTGGGCAGTTGGGCTTGGCTTCGTCCACATGAACACCGACGTCGTGGCAGAGCAGGGGCTTGGACAACACGGTGCATTGCAAGATCTACATGGGCACTAAAGGTGTTGTGACCAGTGCACAGAGTTGCGTGGCCTAATTGTCAGTTCGTATCCCTCGTATCCAAGAATCCGGTGCCTCCCACTAAGCAACTCAATTCCAGACCAGCTTGGGGGGGGGGGGGGGGGGGTATTTTCACGAATTTGTGAAGTCTGAAGGAACAGCAAAAGCCAATGCAGGAGACTTCATTTTGCCTCAGGCGCTGTTCCAGGTCTCATCTTGCCGAATACAGCACACAGCCTTGGCGACAGGCAGCATTGTGCACAGGAACCCTGGATGTCCAGTCCTAGCAATAATTTTGCTCGGTGAAAATTATGATGATGGTGACGACGATGAGTATGATGACAGTGACGATGGTAATGCTGCTGAATGCTGCTGGTGTTGCTGCCGCTGCTGAAGATGGTGATGATAATGATGAGCGATCCTGATCATGACCATGACCATCATTACCATCATGGTCAGGGCCCCGATGACGACAATGATGATGGTGAATGGTGGTGATAAAAGTGATGGTGATGATGATGACGCCTATGACGATGACGGTGACCATCACCATCATCATCCTGAACCCTTATAATCACCACTACTATGGAGGATGACAGTTTATGAGGCACTGGTGCTGCAGATGATGGTGGTGGTGACCTACGACGACAATACCGATGATGATGGCGTTTGTTGCTGCACGCGGCAATCGATCGATGCCCCGACGAAGATGCGATGACGATGAAACATCACCAGAAAAGCCATCAATCATCGACGGAATGCAACTGAAACCTCGCCTTCTTGGCTTGCCTCCGTATCTGAGTGCGACACAGGTTTTGATGCTGAAACGGCGTGGATCAGCCTTGCAGACGCGAGTCTGAATCAGCCACGCGATCTTGTAACTACCTGTCTGCTTGTCAGAGGCTGCAGTCCCAAGTGCAGGACGAGATCTCCAATGGGCGTAAAGCCGCGACGGGTCATCCTAGCCAAATGCTGCTGTGCCCCAAGGAAACAGATAAGAAAGTATGCTCCAAACCGCCTTGCTTTTGGTCTCGTCATCAGAATTGGGGTCCTGATGCAGCATCTCGCCGCTGTCGGCCCGTGTAGAATTAAGCTGCCCCGACCTCTCCACGTAACCGCCGTTGCAGCCTCTTCTCGGCTTGCTTCAGCCGTTCTTTCTCCTGCCAGTCTCTCGCACAAGTTTCCCGGCGAACCCACGCCGCCTTCTTGCGAATTTCGATCGAAAACTGTCGGGAAGCGAAGTCTTAATATCTCCTGGCTCACGAAAATTGAACTCAAATTGTTTCCTTACTCGTATCAGGGAGCTTGCAAAATTAGAGTTCCAAGGGATACGTCTGCGGCTCCGAGGACGGGCTCTGGCAAGGGTTGGCGCTATAGTGCCTATGCTGATAGCTTCCAGGCCCATGCCCCTCTAATGGTCCCCTCCTCAGCCGGGATAGAGAACACGAGTACGCCCTCGAGCCACGAACAAAAAATTGACTACCGTTTTACTCAACAGATGTGAGAGGTAAGTTCAGGTTTGTCGCAATGACATGACATGATGACAGTGCAAAATTATGCCACCCCTTGCTCAAAGCTACAGTTGACCATGGAAAACTGAGATACACGCCTGGAGGTGCAGGTGGATTCTTTGTTTTTTGTCTGGTTTCGGCCGCCATTTGCTGAAGCTGTCGTGTTCAAACCTCACAGTTTCAGTTGCTTTTTTAGCGGTTTCTATTCCTGTCTGAGCTTCGCCTTGGTCCGTTTTCTCGGAGACGCTTTTTGGAACCCTTGTGATTCATGCTGTGAATGTCAGAGCATGTCGCGGCTTCTCTGTGAAACATCTTTCTCTCTGGGATGCACCGATTTCATATTCTGCCAATTTGGCTTTGCGCTCGGCCATTCTTTCTCCATGTCGTTGAAGTTTCTCCTCCACTTCAACTTCAACTTGAGGTTTGATAGTGCGAATGCCTTTCTACTCAGAGGGCTTGAGAGGTACAAGACAAACTGCTCCGGCAAGCGCGATGAACAACTACACCGGAGGTGTGACCAAATCGCTTCTATGATCTTTATGCCGCTCATGCCACATGAATCATTCAACCAATTGCCGTCTAGTCCCATCGACCCGTCCTTGCCCATCGCATCCGTGTCTTGAACTGCCCGGTGTCATTTCGAAGTAATTCATACTTTGGTTCTGCTTCAGGGTTCTCGCGTCGATTTCTTTCGACTCAAGGTGGCACAGTAAAGCTCTGCGACCATTTGCTATCCATGCTGAGTTTAACGTGGTGCATGCGCCGCTTCAGCCCTCCTTATGCCATTGAAATATGCGGTTTAGTGCTACGTTCCTGATTGTTTTTTCCTTCCGTGGCATTGAACGCCAGGATGCTTTGACGCTCGTGCGGCCACGTGAGCATAGTGGGTAAAACGGACAAGACCCAGTCCGGGACGAAGGAGGCCGACGTCGGAGCGCCTCGCCTATCAGTCAACTTGCACGAACAAAGTAACTCAAGCCATGTCGTCTCAAGGCTGCGGCTCCCGATCCGTCTTGCCTTCGGGGATATACATTTTTTCTCACAGCGCAATACAAGTGCCTCCAATACGCCACCCATTCGGCGCCACATCGACATGTCTTTTACTACACCGCGGAGATCTGTGAGCCCAATCAAGAGCCAAGAACCCCTTCCAGCTGCATCACCTCGGACCGCGTTGTACATCTCGCCATACAGCGCGCGCGTGGTAGCTTGAGCTTGCCTTCGGAACGCCACTGAAGCCACCACGATATTTGGATGTGTCTCGATGCATCCATTATGGATCTGTAGACCTGCGCAGCTCCAGCCTCTTGAGCTTTGCATCATCAGCCACGGTGTGGTCCTGTACGGGATGACGGATGTGTCCAAATAACCGAAGGTGTGTGTGGCATGCATTGCTGTCGAGTCTGATGGAGGCCTGAATGGCCTTTCGCATCTCAGTGACTCCGGTTTCTGTTGCCTGAGCCCGCACCGCTCGAACAGTAGAAACTCATCTTGCTTTTCGCTCGCCACTATCGGTCAGAATCTCACAATCTGCACCTCGAAGCCCCATCGCTCCAGAACCGGCTTCTGCACTGGCAAAGCCACCTGTGCGTAGCTCGCGTTGATGCCTGACTGCTCCCATGCCACGACCTTGCCTGATTCAGGTAGCGAACAAACTCCTCCTGGTCATTCACATCCTGAAGGGACGACAGGTCGGAAAAGCACTCTGCAGAGCCCTTCCCTGAGTCCACGGCCCGAGCAAGCTTCCGTACCTGATCCATGCTTTCGCAGCGAACTCCCCAACTCGATTGAAGCAGAAGCATGAGATTGACATCCGAACACATGACACAATACATACCTTTCGGGGCATCTCCGAAACGGCGCACGGAACGCTGCAGAAAAGGGAGACGCCACTGCGCAAGCTGCCAGAAGCACTCTGTACAGCTGATTGGAAGCTTCTTCACCACGTCCATAAGGCATGGACCAACTTTTAAGGCAACTTTAAGGTACAAGACTGCCTGCACCCACCGGTAGTAGGCTTGAACGGCTTTGTGACAGCCTCGCTGTCCGCAGCTCTCACTCCGTCGTCGGCGAACTGAAGGTACTGCCATGGAACCATGCAGCCTCGCGAGAAAGCTCCCACTCGATCTTTTTCACTCGTCGTAGTCAGAAGTGCCGCGCGCATGTAAATGTAAACACGACACATGCATTTCGATGAGGATAACCCTCAGTCGAAACATGCCCGTAAACCCGTAAACAGAGCCAATGCACTAAACAAACAGAAAGGCAAAGCTACCCTGCCGAAAACAAGCGCCACTTTCAAGACAAGCGATGCATACATATACAGCTTTAACCTGCTCCATGCCAGCGTCTGCCAAACCGTGTTTTGCCGGGGGGCAGTTTGGCATCCACTTCGGCATTGAGTGATAGCTGCAGAAAGCACAAAGCATCATCGGCATCCATTGTTGAACTGAGAGTCTCCATTCTCCTGCCAGGCATGCACACAGCATCCAAGTGGTGCGATATAGACCGTATCCTTCGCAAAGCTGCCCCCTCCTTCTCGTAGTTCTGGCCGTTTCCGGGCTCCAGCTTCCTAGGCACTTGCAAGCCACCGAAAGGATGACTAGCTAGCCTTAAAGAACGTAATATCCCAGTCCTAGGCCCAGGGCAGGCAGGCGTCTGGTAGATGCGAAACGTCTTCACTCCGTTTTTGCTGCAGCGTCGTCTCCGCCGGCCGCCCTCGTAGCCACGGACAAAGGCCTCCTTGGCCAATCGACGGCGGCCTCCACAGCTGGGGCAGCAGCGTGCTCTAGACTTTAGTCACTAGACTTTGACGACGCCAGCTTCGCCACAAGAAGCAATGCGACTTCGCTGACCCGACACTGGGCTGGTTTCCTAGGCATTTCCTGAAGTCCTCGGTTGGGGCTCTGGGTTCCAAAGCGGGAGGCGGCTTGGTGAAATACACGGAACACTGAGCAACGTGCAGATTTGGGCCCTTAGCGGAAAACGTGATACGTCCCTCTGACGAACGGCAAGCACAGAGGCTGGAACCTTGGTCGATGGTGCTTCCCCCGGACGTACTTTGCAGGCAAACCTCGCCATATGGCCCCGTGACACCATGCAAGATGATTTTGAACCTTGGTTAACGGGCAGGCCACCCACTCCACAGGACTGTAGAATCGATGTAAGACGAAGAGAAATCCAAGGTGGAACAGTGACCGCAATATCGGTAATTCAAGCCAGGCGCCTCTCCGTAGATTTTTTGGAGATGACAATCTGTTGCGGGGTGTGGCCATTCTGTGGTTGCGCGAAGTGCAGATGCTGGTCGTGAAGCATCAAGCACTTCGGGTTCAAGTCGGGGTCAGCAATGTCACCGAAGTACATGTTGTTCATGTACTCGTTGCACAGGTACCGGTCTTTGGTATACCACCAAAACTGCTTCATCTGCTCCGAATAGCTGTCGGATGTATATGAGCAGTCGCGAAACGATGGAACACAGCCCCTGCAAGGGAAATCTATGCACACTCCAGAAGGCGTCTGGAACAGAAAGCGACTTCCAGATTCCAGACCCAGTAACATCCTAATACACCCTGACACCTTTCTAGTTCACTTTGCTCTGCACCGGTCACTCTGTGCCTGCTGGGTGAGGCTGGGTTGCGACCTAGCGCTTCAAGCACATGCGATTCTGGTTGGGATGACGCTAAAGTCCCCTGTTCCAAGTCCCTGCCCCCGCCTGCACTCCTCAGTCACCCATGAAAAACTGACAGCAAGCAAAACCTACCGCCCCCATGATTCAATCGTTGCTGAAAGCACGAGTTCGCTGTGCGAGCTGCCCGTCCTGCTGCTTCGGTCCTTGCACCATAGCTCTGAGAGCCCGACTTTGGTGTGGGTGCTGCCCATACTTTTCTCCGACAAGAGAAGGTTCCACAAGCGAACAAGCCAACAAATGTCTGGACGCCCGATTTTTCTCCCAGTCTATACTGGTCCTGAACGGTGTTTCTACCGGCTGCACGCATCCTCGACCGCCACTTCTCCCGGGCGCTCTTGCCTGCTTCCCTCGCGGCTCGAAGTTTCATCCCGGGGTTTGCATGCAAGTCGAAATCCTTCTCTGGGCAACATTGCAAGAAGCTCGCCTGACAAAGAGGAAAAACCCAACGAAGCAACTGTAAGTACGGGTTAGCAGAATACAGTCGTAGCCCCTTGCCCACACGAAAACGCCTGATCAGCCCCTAACCTCACTTCGCTCGCTCCCTTTCTCTCTCTTTCTCCACAGCTTGGACGGGGAATCCGTCCTTGGCTTCGTTCCTTTTTCTGTGTACCCGTACGAAGGCGGTGGACTAAAACAGTGCAGGTGCTACCCTGGTTCCTGTCTGGGCAGCAAACCTTTTCAGCAGATTCGAACTCGGACCGAGGTGCAATGGACCAACAACGAACACCACGGCCAAAGCAAAACGGGCGGCCTGCCAAAGAAGTAAACTTTGCCGTCGTCACTGGGCTGATAGCACGAAGGCGATGGCATGAGACACTGGTCCTGCTGCAAACGTCTATGCTTTGATCATGGTCGCCATCACCACGACATGACTCATGACTATGCCTTGTCGTCATCATCACTATCAGCTGCGGCAATAGCAGCAACAACAGCAACGGCAACAGCAACAGTACTAGTACGAACGCTGGCACGAAAATTAGAAGTAGTAGCAGTAGGTAGTGGCAGTAGTACTGGCAGCAGTAGTAGTAGTAGTAGTAGCAGTAGTAGTACTTGTTGTTGTTGTAGCAGCAGCAGGAGCAGTAGCAGTAGCAGTAGCAGTACCAGCGTAGCAGTAGCAGTAGCAGTAGCAGCAGCAGCAGGAGCAGGAGCAGGAGCAGGAGCAGGAGCAGGAGCAGGAGCAGTAGCAGTAGCAGTAGCAGCAGTAATAGTAGTAGCAGTAGCAGTAGCAGTAGCAGTAGCAGTAGCAGTAGCAGTAGTAGTAGTAGTAGTAGTAGTAGTAGTAGTAGTAGTAGTAGTAATAGCGACAGTAGCAGTGAGTAGTAGTGAGTAGTGGTGAGAAGTAGGCAATAGGCCGGAAGTAGGAGGTAGCCGGTGGTAGGTAGTCGGCAGCAGGGGAAAAATGTTGCAACGTAGAAGTTGGTAATTAGCACTATCTAGGTCGTAGTCGCAATAGCAGCAGTAGCAGTAGAAGTGGCAGTAGCAGTAGCAGTAGCAGGAGCAGGAGCAGCAGCAGCACCACCAGCAGCAGTAGCACTAGCAGCGGCAGTAGCAGCAGCAGCCAAAGCAGCAGCAGCAGCAGGAGGAGGAGTAGTAGTAGTAGTAGCAACAGTAGCAACAGCAGCAGTGAGTAGTAGTGAGTAGTAGGGAGTAGTAGTGAGTAGTAGGCAATAGGCTGGAAGTAGGAGGTAGTCGGTGGTAGGTAGTCGGTAGCAGGGACAATGTTGCAACGTAGAAGTTGGTACTTAGCACTAGCTAGGTCGTAGTCGCAGTAGCAGCAGTAGCAGTGGCAGCAGCAGCAGCAGCAAGAGTAGTAGTGGTAGTAGTAGTAGTAGTAGTAGCAGTAGCAGTAGTAGGCACCCCCTACCCACTACACTGGCGCTTAACCACGTTACGACAACATCCGCTGTAGTCGATATTTACAGCTTTCGTCATGTAGGATCATCTTATGAAACCTCAAAATCGACTTGTCGAGTTTGTAAGCTCGAGCTTCGGATTTTGCACTTGCTTTTTTGGGGGGATGGGGGGAGGGGGAGGGATGATGACGAAAGTGTTACGCAGCCACCCCGAACAATATCTCCAGAAGAGCCGCTCTACGCGATATTTACAATAGCAGCAGCAGCAGCAGCAGCAGCAGCAGCCGCGGCAGCAGCAGCAGCAGCAGCAGGGGCTTGGACAGGTGCATCGCATTCGGCCGTTCTGTGACGGCTTCACCGGTTTTGGTGACCCATGATCAAGCTAACTACTTCGACCCAATCCAGCGTGGTCAGAAAGTCAGTGATTTGGCTTGAATCTATCCGTTTCACATTGAGCATTGCTTCCAGCAAACTGAATCCTCGTTCGGAGCCACAAGTAGTAGTAGAAGAAGTAGTAGTAGTAGTAGTAGTAGTAGTAGCAGTAGCAGTAGCAGTAGCAGTAGCAGTAGCAGTAGCAGTAGCAGAAGCAGTAGCAGTAGCAGTAGTAGTAGTGGTAGTAGTAGTAGTAGTGGTGGTAGTAGTAGTAGTAGCAGCAGTAGTAATAATAGTAGTAGTAGTCGTCGTCGTCGTAGTAGTAGTAGGAGCAGCAGCAGCAGTAGCAGTAGCAGTAGCAGCAGTAGTAGCAGTAGAAGCAGCAGAAGCAGTAGAAGTAGTACTAGTAGTAGTCGTCGTCGTAGTGGTAGTGGCAGTAGCAGCGGCAGTGGCAGTGGTAGCGGTGGTGGTAGTGGTAGTAGTAGTAGTAGTAGTAGTAGTAGTAGTAGTAGTAGTAGTAGTAGTAGTAGTAGTGGTAGTGGTGGTGGTAGTGGTGGTATGTAGTACGTAGTACGTAGTACGTAGTATGTAGTACGCAGTACGTAGTACGTAGTGCTGTGTGCTGCGGATTTGGAGCCGATCTTGGGGCAAGACTGGCGTACACTCTACCCCATGACTCTTTTCAAGATTTTCGGGGCGTCAACATAGTGCAAGCGTGCTCGGCGTTGGGGGGGGGTGGGGCAGTGGGGGCCAAGATTGGCGTGCAGGCTTGCCCATCTTGGTGGTGGTGCCGCGATCTTGCAATCTTGCCTTTTTGCTATCCCCATCATTCCCCATCGAAAACCCTAAACCCTAAACCCCTAGACCCCAAGCCTAAAGCCCTAACTTAAACCCCTAAACCCTGTGCAAGATTACACGATTACCACGCGCTTCCCCGCAAGATTACCAGTGACCAGAGGACCCTGCGCTTCCCTCCCTAAGCGAAAACCATTTTCCAGATTGCAAATTTTCAACTTTGGCAACCTTGACCAGAATTCTTGCAACCCCGCTGAACGACCAAGATTTCAAGATTACCAAGATTGTTTGACCCCCGACCAAGATGGGCAAGCTTGGCAAGATGGGAAAGATTTACCTGCAAAGCGACAAAGTTCGGTGCAACACTGATCGGGTCTAAATTCCCAGCACAATGTGGTGGTGGTAGTAGCGGTCATAGTAGTTGTAGTAGCAGTAGTAGTAGCAGCAGCAACAGTAGTAGTAGTAGTAGTAGTAGTAGTAGTAGTAGTAGTAGTCGCAGTCGTGGTGGTAGTGGTAGTGGTATCAGTAGCGGTAGCGGCAGCGGCAGTCGTAGTAGTAGTGGTAGTGGTAGTGGTAATGGTAGTGGTAGTGGTAGTTGTAGTCGCCGTGATAGCAATAGTAGTAGCAGCAGTAGTAGAAGTAGCAGTAGCAGTAGCAGTAGTAGTACTAGTACTAGTACTAGTACTAGTAGGAGTAGTAGTAGTAGTAGTAGTAGTAGTAGTAGTAGCAGTAGCAGTAGCAGTAGCAGTAGCAGTAGCAGTAGTAGTAGCAGTAGCTGTAGCAGTAGTAGTAGTCGTAGTAGTAGTAGTAGTAGTAGTAGTAGTAGTAGTAGTAGTAAGTAGTAAGTAGTAAGTAGTAAGTAGTCAGTAGTAAGTAGTAGGTAGCAAGTAGTAAGTAGTAAGAAGTAAGTAGTATGAAATAAGTAGTAAGTAGCAAGTGGTAAGCAGTAGGTAGCAGGTAGCAGGTAGCAGGTAGCAGGTAGCAGGTAGCAGGTAGCAGTAGTAGTAGTAGTAGTAGTGGTAGTAGTAGTAGTAGTAGTAGTAGTAGTAGTAGTAGTAGTAGTGGTAGCAGCAGTAGTACCAGTAGTAGCAGTACTAGTAGTAGCAGTAGTAGTAGTAGTAGTAGCAGCAGTACTAGTCGTATAGTCGTAGTAGTAGTAGTAGTAGTAGCAGTAGCAGTAGCAGTAGCAGTAGCAGTAGCAGTAGCAGTAGGAGTAGGAGTAGGAGTAGGAGTAGGAGTAGTAGTAGTAGTAGTAGTAGTAGTAGTAGTAGTAGTAGTAGTAGTGGTCGTAGAGCGGAAGCAGCAGTAGTAGCAGCAGTAGCAGTAGTAGTAGAAGCAGTAAGTAGTAGTTGTAGTAGTAGCAGCAGCAGTATCAGGAGGAGGAGGAGGAGGAGGAGGAGGAGGAGGAGGAGGTGCATCGGCAGCGTCACTGACGCCAAAGTCTCATGCCGTGTGAGTGAGCCTGAAGTCTTGTGCCTTCGGTCCTGCTCGTTGCGGATAACGTACTCGGTTCCGTCACCGCAGCTGCTTGGAGTCCCTCCATTCTTCTTGCATTTGCCGCCGAGAAGGTTGCTCAGTTTGCATTTCACCTTGTCGGTTACCTTCTTGCCAACGTTGACGACCGACTTCGCAAATTTGCTGCCTCGCGAACCAACCTGGTTCGTATAGAACTGGGCAATCTCATCGGCACCGCTGCCGGCAAAGTTATTGATCTTGTTCAGGACATACTTTGAGCCTTGGAGGAACAGCTCTCCCCAGCCCAAGCGCGCTTTGCATCTTAGCTTTTTGTTGCTGAACTTAAAGACGCACTTGACGGATGTCGCAGATCCACCGATCTTCACTTCGGAATCGAAGCCCACACCGGCTGTGTTCAAAAAGAAGCCAATGCCCTGATTCGCAGAAAGCGAAATGCCGCTGTCCACATTGACACCCACCACATCCAACAGGCCACCGATCTGGCCCAAGATGGTTTTCACAATCGACTCCACGAATGCACCCATGTCGGCCGACAAATAGAAGTAAAGTCCCGGGAGGTGCGACATAGCGGTTTCATCATCAGCACTTGCTTTGGCAGGCCCGGTCCGCAGCATCATTGAAGCAGAGAACCTCATCGCTGACTCTCAGTCCTAGTCACATTCATATCTAGAGCTTGAATGTACTGGTGCATCGCACTGAGCAGAGTGTCGATTTACATGTGGAACAGCTCATATTAGCTTCGTGTAACCGGGGCACAGCTGGAAGGACATGTCGGGAAGGATGCCCGATGTTGGTCCTGGCTGAGAGGAGAGATGGGATTAAGGCCAAGTCGGGTGCAAAACACATCGCTCTTAACCCCCGGTCCAGCCAGTTCCAAGGTGACGTAGCCGTTCAGGACAAGCATAAAGGTGGCCGTCTGCAAGTTCTCCACCAAGCTGACCACGTTTGAATTCGCTCCCGCTGTACGCAAGGTTGTCGCAGCCAATGACGGGCCCAGGTAGAATGCTGAAGCATAGCCTCCGAGCAGGTCCGGCAAGATGTCGACCACGCTGGCAGAGGCGATAGCCTTGAGAGGCGTGACGATGTCGCCATCATATGCAGCAGCAATTTGCGCCTGAAGGTCCCCAGCTAAAATGTCGCCGATTGTCTCCTCCGCTCCGATGAGCTTCCCAACAGAGATGCGAACGGTAATGCTGAGACCCAAGTTGGCCGCCATGGTGATGTCGTCGACGCGGATGCTATCACCATCACCATGTGCTAGCCTCGCGGTCTTGGAGAACTTCTTGTCCACCGAAATTCCGAAGGTGAACTCCGGCAACATGCCAACGACACGACTGAGAACCGGCACAAGCTTATCTGCAAAGCACTCGAAAGCATCAGGACTGATCGACAGCATAAAGTTGACTTTCGCGGTCCCACAAAGGTTGAAGGCAAACGCCATCTTCAACTCGCTGTACAGGTCTGCTGAAGTACCCGATGGACACAGGAAGGTTGTGTACAATCCAATAGTGCCCCACTTTTCCGCGTCAGATGGCGAAAGGAACAAGTTCCGCAGGTATGTGAGACCCTGGTAAGAGTCATAAAGCTGAGAGCTCACCCCATATTCGTCACCAACAATCCACGAGCCAGGACGATCACCAATGCAGAACACGTACCCGGACAGCGCACTTAAGTCTTCCCACACTTTGAGGAAAGTGTTGAAGTAGTTCGCCCCTTCGCTCGGCAGAAATGTCGCCAACTGGTGGCGCCAGTCAGTGTTAGTTGCGCAAGTCCCGCCAAGGCCCATCCCGCATCCTGTGAGATTTGCCAAGGCCGTCGCACCATTCCGTGCATCATCCAAAGTGTTCTGGTGAAGTGCTCGCTGCAAGAGGTTTTGGCCTCGTCAGAACCACGGATGATCAAGGCGGACTCAAATCATGCACTTAAGCTCGGACCTATTCTGCTCCTTGCATCTGTATGCCATGCGCCTGCCTTGCGCTGCGTCGGTAGTTTGGCACGCCTCTTCTGCCAAGGCGAAACCCCAAAACAGTGCCTGAGTAATGGCACAAAGACACGACATCCTGCACATGGCTGCAGGATCTCAAGTCAACGGTACAGAGGGAAGGTGAAGATAAAGCACGTGGAAGACTTGACCCAGAAAGGATATCACGCAGGCAGCATCATGCAGCACAAAGGTCCCTCTTCTGTCGGTCCTCTGGCAGTCCGCTTTTCTAGGCTCTGGTGCCTCTTTGAACCGGGACTGGACTGACTGGACCTGGCCAACCCGGCCTGCTCTCGGAAGTTGGGCTCCGAGTAAACGAGCTCAAGCTCCTCGAGCTGATGGGACCCTTCGCGAAGGCACATTCAAGTCTCGAAAGAACCGCCTTCAGAAGCTCTTCGGTGCCATCGTGCGTAAGCCTTGCAAGGCTGCTGGCGGAATACAGTACGATGTACCTTGATGCACCTTCAATCTTGCTGCGTTCTAGCTACAGTACTTCTGCGAGCCGTGAACTGCTTTCCGACAAGAATTTGAGGTCTTCGTTGAAAGCACTGTTTCTGATTTGCGTCGAAGTGCCGGGTTGCACATCGACCAAAAAGGCTGGCAGCTATTACTTTCGGCTCTTCCACAGATGGCTTTGCCACTGGAGGCCCACACATTGGCATCTCTGATGGAATCGCATGTTGCCCGCTCCATTGCAATGTTGCAGCAAGCACGAAACAAGACGTGTCCGTGAAGCCCTACACAAGGTTGTGCCAGCGAGCTTGCTATGATGCACGAGGGATTTCGGTACAAAGCTTGAGGATGCTGTGACTGAGCAGCACACCGCTTTCTAGTGGCATCGTCCACATTCATCAACGCCGGAGTCTGTCCGAGGACATCCGGTGCCAAGGCCTAGCTTCCGACTCTCCAGCTGATGACTCCCGCGAGTCGTCGGATTCTTTTGCTGCTTCACGCCGGCCTGCTGCTCCTTCTTCAGGACAGGTGCAGCAGCCCGCTCCTGTGTCACCAGAAGGCTGGTTGAGGAATGCCAGCCCGCATGCGCCCATATGCGCCCGCGCTCTCCTCGCTGAAGAGGCCTTTCTTCAGTCCCAGCTTCAGCATGCGCTGCTGCGACGCCTCACAACAGCGGGACATACTCCAGGTGGAAGTGTGAGCCCCGGCAACGGCAAGCAGGCTCGGTGCTGCGGAAAAATGAGTGCCGTCTCAAGATGGCCTCCCTAACGCCAGCAGCGCATCTTGCACCACTGGGTCTCGACTAACCAGGAACCCTTCGGGTTCAACATGGTTCAACGGTTCTGCTTCCGATTTTGGATGCACCACCGTCCCAATGTCTGGCCAGAGGCCTTCGCGACTACTGCGAAGAGTGCGCTGATGTGCTGGCGCACAGTCTTTGCACTTGAAACTCCTGCAGCTAGCTCCCTAGAATCATCGTACCCTCGCTCTCTGACATCACTCCTCACCGCGCGGAAAGGCTGAGACAGCCAATGGCCTTCAAACGAGCCCTCTCTTTGAGACGCTGCCTCTCACCGGAGTTGTCAATGTCCCGGCCCCAGACCTGAGAGTTCGTCCCAGTAATCAGTGCAGCCGTAAAAAAGGCCGCAACAGATGCCGCTGAAAAACGATCTCGTCGACCTGGAGTCGGCGACAGCATGCGTTCGCACATCTCGGTAAGTAGAGACAGTTCTCTTTCACCCAACATGCTTGTCTTACTCCCACTCTCTGTGAGATTTGCTTCGCGGCTATCTGTCGATACGTACCACCAATCTTCGGCATGTAACATGTATGCACGTATGTTGTGTCATCCACTCCGTGTCACTCGTTGGGTCATGTTGGTAAGGAAGAACTGAGTGTGGCAATGGAAAATTGGCCCCTTCCTTTCTGCCGTTCCATGCAGGGCAGTGGTGAGAGTGTCCCAGCCTTTGCCCGCGGCCGACAAGGTCTTGTGACAAGAACAACAGCCTCGTAACCTCAACCGATCCAGTCCAGCCTAACCCGGGTTGTAGCTTCAGTCTTGCTCTCTCGCTCTCCAGCCAATCTGATGCCCACCTCTTGCCCCCAGTCTGGCTAGCAAGAATGCAATCAATGGCAACGGAGTTCAGAAGTGGTCCCTGCCGTCCCTGCCTGCGACATTCCACTGCCAGGAACCGCTTGCCGCCCTTCTGCCCGATCCGGCGCGCCGATGTACTTACGCCCAGCAGCACCTTAAGACTAGAGGCTCTCAAGCCCCGGATTCCCATTCTGCTTGCTTCGATTGGTTTCCCGAGCAGAGCCTCTCCAGCACGCAGCATCGAGGTGCACGTCCGACGTGGCGGCAGTGTCGCGACCGAAGGCTGCCTTCTCCACCGTGCTGACCTTGCTACTTCAAGTACTGAAGCTACGGCTACTTGTAGTGACCATCAGGATTTGCGCTCCTCGAAGGCTCCAAGTGAAATGTTCTCACCAGGGCACGTGGGCCATGTGGCTATGCCGCAGGCCTCCGTCCTTTTCCGGATGCCCAATGTAGCGCCGACCCGCGGCGCCTTCCACTTTGTGCACCGGCTGTGAGCAAGGTGTAAAAGCATTAAGAGCAAACCGGAACCGGGAGTCTGGTGCAGTTGTGGTTCACCATGGTTCACCGATTTTATATCTGAGAGGTGCTTTGCAGATGAGCAACAGCACACGCGAAGGAGTTTTCGGCTAGCCAATCCCCAGATCCGGGCAGCGGAATCATAGAGTACTCAAAGCTTGACAACTACGAAAAAGACGGGTCGGTTCAGGGTGGCTTTGGCACAAACAGGCAGCACTCTCAGGCCTTCGAATTGAGCGGACTGCAAGTGATCTCGGATTCGTTCGGTGGAGCTGCCAAGCTCGTGGCCGAAGACGATCTGACGGCACATGCGCCAGCTAAATTCAAAGAGCGAGGGCTCGTTTCATGATGCATGAGCCGGCATGCCGGGTTTGGCCGATGCCAGTGCAATGGCAGCATGGACATGTGTGCCCTGGCTCGGCTATGCCAAAGAAGCGCATTTGCGGCTGCCTTGTCGACCTGAGACAGCGTGGTCGTGAGGTCAGGCTTGAGGCCTTCCATCCGGTCTACGTGGCCAAGACAAGGCGCACCGGCCGCATCCTGCAACAAATTGCAGCAATAACCGCCGCGTTGACCCAAGCGGCTGACAGGTAGCCGGTGCGCCTTGAAAGCTTCCAGCCGCAGATGTTCTTTCAACCTGTCCTGAGCCAAAGTGCGCAGTCTGCTAAGGATGCGCTGAGGACTACCTGTGCGACTGCCTCGCAACACTGTGCTTACCGGCCAAGCAGCATCAGAATTCGACAACTCCCGTCCCAAGACGACTTTGTCCACCCTGGTGACAGTCTTTGCAGGATTGGCCTTGATCCCTTCCCGCCGTTCCACGTGGCCAACATACCTGAGCACGGCAGGGCACATCTGAGTTATCGCAGCCAAGTTCTTCGCTCGTTTAGGCACCTTCGCCCTGCGGCTCCCTCGAAGACAGGCTCGTCTGCGTACTCCGCAACTCGGACGTCTGAGCAATCCATGTCCCGGCCGAAGACAACCTGAAGAGTCCGGACAGGGCCAGGTATGGCGCTCAGATGCGCTCAGCTCTCAACTTGCCTCGTCCACTTGCGAAGCATGCCCTGTGGCCCTGGTTCGCAAGCCCTCTTTCCGAGGTGTGGCTCCCAGCCGTCTCTTGCCAGCGGCACCAAGATGCTCGGCCACATCTAAGACGTGACGGCGCATGACAAAACATCTGACTCGTTGACATGCAAGCCTGCAAAGCGACTTCATCCCTCACCACTTAGGCCGGCGCCGAGGTGGTTCTCAGCACGCGCACGCGGCGGCGATCCACTCTCACGGCCCGGAATCAATCCAGCCGTCTCGCACACACTGGCTGCAGCCGGGTAGACCTTCAGTCCCTCCTGACGTGGTGGACTACCCATGCATCTCTTGCCGGCAGCAGACTTCGTGAAGGCCACGAGGTCTTGTTTTCTGCTCACCGGGGCCGTGCCTTGTCCGTGTCGGTGCTTTCGTGTCTTGCGTCTTTCAGTCGAAGCTTCGGAAGATTTTTCTGCATCCACAAAGACGTTTTGCGAGACTTGCGAGGGCTTTGGTGCCAGGTCTCCCACAACACAGGTCCGATGCCCTGCGGCGCCGGCAAATGCTTCCCTGAGTTGCTTGGCTATATGACGGCTGCGTGCATTCAGCTCCTCATTCGGCAAGCTGAATACCGGTGGACCCCCAACAAGAGCACCATTGCTTCTGGCATAATTGGTAGAGATGTCTCTTTGCCGCAACCACCAGGAATCACGTGCACCGGCCGCGTTGTCATGGAATTGACGATGAACGCTTTCGTAATCCCGAGAAGCTCCAGCAAGAGGACATGCTCTTGGATCCCGAGGCTCTCTGGCAGAGGAGATGCGCGAAGAGCTGCTCGCTGTCGACGCCGTGGCCCTTGACTTGCAGCTCGCTGTATCAGATACCGGCTTCCCATACGCTGGATACATGGTACGGTCCGCAGCTCCGTGGTGACTGAGCTCAGCCATCACGTCTGGCAGGATAGACGAAAGGTGGATGATTACATGGCGCTCGAGTTCGGCCAAGTGCTGCCCTGCTCAATGTATCGGGCGTACCGGTTTATCTTCTACGGCAGCCCGAAACCTTATCGTCAGGACCCTTTAGCCTTTACTCTGCGGTACATGTAGACTGCACTCTGTGTCTGAGGTGCTGCTGACTGAACTGGATATGGCAGCAGAGCATCGGACAAGATTTGCCAAAATTTACATCAGGCACACAGTCTCACATACTTACTTGCCCTGTCCCATGCATCGCTCACTTCGAAACTAACGACATAGTACAGCATAACACTCAGCTTCTTGATTGAATTCGCGGACGTGCAAACCAGATGTTGCTCTGTGCCATCTCCCATGCTGTGCATTCGGCTGTTGAGATAGTGCCTCGTCTCGGCTGAGCAGTGCTTGCACCTGACGGCTCGGATGCTCAAGCTTTCATGACTGATCATCAGAACTAAAAGGCAAAGAATGCATGAATCCCAAAGTCGGCATAGTTGCGGCCTTCTCCCTCTTGGCAGACGTCTCACGCTCCAGGCGGTCCCTGTCTGGACCTTGCAACAGCCGACATCCATGCGTCCTACCAGGTGCATGGAAAAACCAGGATGACGCCCTGTGCCCCACTGCTGCTGCACCGCACGCTGGCACTTCTTCGCTCTTCTCTCTGTCACTGCAACACTTTTGAGGAGTGCACGCCCGACTGCAATGGTGTCTATCATCTTCAGGCCTGGAGTGGCCAAAAAGAAAGCGAGCCGCCGCGATTCTGGGCCGCCGATTCTGGGCGGATTCCAAGTGGCATCTCTCCACCTCCTTGAGGCGGCCCAGGCCTGGGAAAGCTCTCATCTGCCGTCCCGTCCCGTCACGCGTCCACGCTCTCCCTGCAGTGTCTCGGTCTCGGTGCCTTCTAAAGCGCAAGCTTTCCGGAACCAAGCTTTGTGGTCCTGAAAGCCATCGACTGGACAACAAGTGCGGCGAGGCTTCCAAGCTCAAACTGTCCTGGTCATCCGTCTTGAGCACATCCTCTGCAGCTTCAAGCGCCTGGCCACTAATAGGTGTATGTTTCGGTGCGGGCACGCTGAGCAGAACAAGAGCTGCCTCCTGCCAACCATGCAGCTTGAGTGCTGCTAGAGCTCTGTTCTTCAAGAGCGCCACTCGGACCTGAATGTGCTACCTCTTCGGCTCTTCACTGGTGCCAACACAGGACACACAATTCGTGAGTACAGGTGGGCTGCGCCTCCGAGAAGAATTTCTGCTCGGAAGCATGAGTGTCAGGCACGCGGATCCTGCTCAACTCTGTCGACTGTGCATCACATTGCTGCTCATGACAAAAACTGTTTCCACAGAAAGCAAACAAGGCTGCCCACGACGACAAGTCTGTCGGACAAGACTATGAGGCCCAGAGTCTATCACTAACGCATCTGTCACTCTGCTGTCCTTTCCAACGCCTCGCACCCAAGTCGCCACGCCTTCAGCATGTTAGGAGGACTTTTATGATGTGTGTCGCAATTTGGAAGCTGCTGGCCTTTAGGGCATCCTCGGCATTGCCTCTTTCCCACTCCACCACACCATCCTGGAGGTGAGCAGACCAGCACGTCGTCTCGGCGAAAGTCGGGAAGTGTCGCAAAAACTAGACAGGCCGATCGCACCTTGCGATACTTGGTGGCGAAACTCAGGCCATCATGCACTTCCTTCATACCTGTGGGCTGCGAGGCAGACACGCGAAGAATCAGAACACCGTTCCCGCAAAGCCAGACCTGACCTGCTGGGCGACATGACAAGATGATCTTTACCGCCAAGATGAATCTGTGATGCATGTTGTACATATCAACCACTTTGGCAGTGAGGGTTTAACGCACAAGAGTATGCAGCTGCGGGCGCACTAGAAATTGCCTTAGGCCCCTCGATCTTGCGGCGCTCTAGTTTGGCGGCCTCAAAGCGAGGGATGCTGCTGGAAATTCCGAAATCTGGCACTTTGGAGACCTCTTCGGACCAGAAACCCTAAGCCGCCCCTCTCAGGCAACACTTGGATCATCTTGGACCTGGGCATCTTCCTTGATACCCCGCTGGTGCCAATCCTGCTAGTGTGCTGGCATGCCGAAAGTTTCGCCATAAAACATCGCTGCATTTCAACGGCTCTTTCTAATTGCAGCCTTCCCCGTTCTCAACTTTAATTCTAGACAGCTGGCTGGCGCCTGGAAAATCCGATCGGCACCCTTGTCACCTTCTGCATCGATGGTATTGCGAAAGTCGAAGAGCATCCTGCTGTCACTGCAGGAGTTCCTTCCAAAACCTTCTGTCAGCATCTGCGATGGCCTCTGCGTCTCAGGAGCCTCAAGGAATTGAGGAAACGGAACACCACGCTCTTGAGCTTGCCGCACCACCTTTGCAGGCCACTGCTTGAGAGATCTTCCGGTATATATCCAATCAAAACTATGGTAAACTGTCATGTTCTTGGCGTGACCAGGTCTGAGTCTTAGGAGTCACCCGTCCCTGCAACTGATCGCGTTCCTTACTCCCTGTGCCTCCGAAGTCGGAAACAGGATCTCAGTCGTGCACACCCCTCTAGAAAAAAGCAAACATAATCCCCCGGTGCATGGCCTGCATCAAGTAGGCCTCCACTGCCCTGTGATGCAGAATGGGTGTGACCTCGAGTTATGCGTTGCAGCAACCAGACTTAACCATACATCTGGCGTAATTATTCTGATGATGCTGTACGAAGAAACTAATGCGGGCGTTCCAACACATGTACAGATGCTGCCGCCACTTGCGCAATCGCTGACACGTTTTGACCGTCGCCCAGTCAGTGCAATAAGGCCACCAATGTGCTTCTAGTGGATTTGCTTTGCTATGAAGTACTAGCCACGCTCCCCCGTCATCGGATCCATTACGACAACGCAGAACATTCCCAGATACGAAAGCAACCATTGATCCACTGGACATTTTCTTCCTCAATTTGGGACGGCATGCTCTGGAAAAGGGCCTATAGCTGGGACCGCTGAGATTCCTGCCAGACGCCGAGTGGCCATGGCGCATTCGTCCAATCGGTCCGCGAGCTGTCAACAAGTCGCTTTTGGCATCTTCAGAAAGCCTGGACCCCCTAAGCATCCCTAGGCTTTAAGGTAAGGCCCTAGCCTACTCGAGCCTACTTTTAGCTGTCTCGGATACATCTTTAGGCAGGCGGTTCACCCAGAAGCTCGTCTCCCTGGCTTGTCGCCTCTCGTCGGAATTGATTCGTGGTCTGCACCTGGATCGGCAAACGGCTCCGTGTCAGGAGTGCCCAGTATTGCTCAGTGAGATGTGCTCTGCTCTAGCAGTGCTTTCGCCTCCGAGAACTGCTGGAGCCAAGTATTTTTTCTCAACCTCTCAGCAGTGGGCAAAGTTTGAAATCACAAGGAAGCATCATGAAGCCTGAGTTGCAGATGTAGACAAACTTGAGGGGACGACTTCCAGTGATCATCGGATTGCATCAGCGCTTTCATGTGCGGCTTGCGCGCCGCATTGTTCCAGAACTCTGGATCCTTCCAGACACAGCACGTCATGGTACATTCACGTCTTCTGAACAGAGCACGGAAGGCAAAGCCTCCTGAGTCAGGTAAAAGTTTGGATTCTCGCGAGGATCGTCAGTTTCACGCCGAAACTGTTCCGACCTTGGTCACACGACTGCGCTTGTGACCGATAGAATCTGATGTGGCACTGCTCTCCGAATCTTAGCAGCAGGACCTGCAGCAGAACGCCCGGCGCCAAGCTTTGTTACAAGCGAATCTGCCATTGAAACGATCCAAGAACAGGTGCGCTCGACAGTCTCCCCCGCGGCCCGTCGTAGTTTACGCGGCCACATCGGAGACGGTTCGCACACACGTCATGAACACCATGGAAAACATCCTCCGAGCGCATGGAGCCAAGACCTTCTGACAGCCTTGCAAGGCGCAGATTCCCATGCACGGTGAGTTTGGTGTTACAGTTCATCTGAGTCACGAGAAAACCTTCCTTGTTGTTGAGACTGATGCCTTGCAACCTCGGTGCATACGATCTCACTGATCTCGCATCCTCATAAAGACGCGCGCGTCTGAGTCCCCGGCCATCTCCTGAGCTGTCCGATCCGCTTCCCCTCATTCCCATCCCATGCACGCCGTGCCAGAGTGCAGCAAAGGCGCGCTTTGTCGAAAGGATTCTTATTGCCGCCTTCACCCAACCCTGTCATCTCGCTCAAGATGAAACCGCGCACAGCCTGAAAGGCAGCTTGGACCGTGCACGAGCATTGATCACCACTTAGCCAGTTCTACCATGTGCCGACATCCGCCATGAGTAGCCCGCATGCGCGATTCACTGCATGTGGACGCTGCAACGAATCTCTGCCCCTTGGTGTGGTGCCGGGGCGCCATCCGGCGTCCTGCAAGTCTTGCAGTCCACGACCTCGCTGGAGCGAGAGTTCGATTGAGTCGACATGTCGAAAGTCGAAGGATCTTAATTCGTCTGACACAGGCCTGCAGATCCGGTGAAGATGCTTGAGGTCCAGCTGCTTCTTTGTGAGTTCGGGTGCCAAGGCCAGCCGGCTCAAGGAACAGTGCACGTAACCATGCGCAGATCCACCGACTGTTCTCACGATGGTCGCTTGTCTTAAAAGCTTAGGATGCTCGTGCACCGCCGCAAGATCCAGCTCGTCTTTTCGCTGAACATGAGACAGCTTCTTCTCTAGGAAGACGTACAGAACATCGGTTCTCAGCGCCGTCATAGGATCCATCTCCGCACTGGCACGATCGCTCAGCACACCAGGTTCACGCAGGCCCTTGTCGCTGTCACTTGTTCCCACGGTCCGAAACAAAGCCAGCAGGGATCCGTCTTTGGCAAGCATAATCCTGTCCACCTCCAGGACGAAAGCCTCGTGATCTGCTGCGACGTGTTCCAGCGCCTTAGCCCAAAGGCATGCATGCCCTAGGTGACCGAAGCTGGTTCTTCTCGCCGCTAGCCACTGCGACGACTACTTAACCTGAAAAGCAGCAATACGAGAATGCGTGCGTTGATTGCAGCAAGCGGGGTGGTCCAGGATAATACTGTTAAGCTGTCAAACAGAGTTGAACCATGTTGAGCTCCTTGAATAGTTTACTTTCGAACCACGGCTACTAAGGCCTCAACTCGGTTCTGAGCCGAAGTGCCTTGACGACTTGACTGTTGTACTCGGCGTGCGCTTTCGGGTCCGTGTCCGGCTCTCTCCAGAGACTCGGAATGCAAACAGTTATGTGCATGTCCCTTTGCGGAATGTGAGCCACTTCTGGAATCCATGTGCTGCTCTTTTCAACGTCGGCTGCCTCACTCCGGCTGTGCATGCCTGATAGCAGCAACACGCAGTTGACCACATCATCCCTTGCCTCGGCTAGCAAGCTTTGCAGTGGCTCCTCGATCGGAATGGATACAGCCAGCTGTGTCTTGCCGTTGTCCTCGGACGAAGCACCAAAGCCAGTCCAAGATGAGACGGATGCAGGCTCGACAGTCAAACATGATAAAGTCACCCCAAGGCTCTGTGAGAAAACCCTTCTCGTAGGAGCGCCGTGCGAGCGCCAGATCCAAGCTGTCATCACGATCGCGCCACTGCTTCAAGTATTCCTCCTCGTACCTGGGTTCGGTGGCCACGCAGGCAGTTCGCACATGGCATAAAGTTTCTCAGTGCAGTTCGTCATAGTCTTGTCTGCAGACAACTGGAATTCTTCTCGATTTCGATGCAATGAAGCAGATCTCGGTGCTCTTTGCTGTGACCCTGTACTGAGCTGAGAATCAAGCCTGCAGTATTCAATTTTGGAGTGTGACAACTGAACCAACACAACGGACAAGCATCGATAGGGCAGCGCACTTTCAACATCATGCTTTAGCTACTTCGGGAACTCGGGGCCTCTGCCTTTTTCGAATGCTCCGAGAGGAAATGAAGGCAACATCATCGCAACAACACAACGTCACCACGTTCTCAGAATTCTTTCCGAGATGCTCCAGAGCCTCCTCGAGCTGACGATCGTACTCTTTCACGCGCTTCTCGTTCGACTGACAGACGCTGTCCCGCCAACCAATGCCTAGACGCTCCAGAATCGAGTAATGGAAAGAGGCGGCATCCTGCGGCTGCTGTGCCATGGCAGAACAGCCAAGGCTGTCAGGCAAATCGGGAACCGACGTGCTGCTTGTGAACGTTCTAACAGGCTCATCAATCTGTCTCGGAGTTAACCATAGCTGTTTGCAATCTGTAGATGTTTGCTCACTTGTCGGTATGCTCAAAGTCTTCAAGATCCGCAAGACGACTGCAACCAGATACATGCAGGCGGCAGCCTGAGTCGAAGCTCCCGAGAGCGAAACAGCCATCTCGGGTCGTCGTATTTGGTATCGTACTCAGGGTAGCCCCAATCCTAAAGTTGAGAGTGAGCCAAGGCAGGAAGTAGCGGAGACTGTCAACAGGGCCTTGAGCTGTTCTTTTGTGTAGCCGCCATTTTGAGCCGACCTCAGTCTGGAGTCTCTGCTGCGCACGTAGCGACGTAGCGACGTAGCGACGCAGCGGCGATTAGCAGCTTCCAAGGATGAGGCGGAACGAAGGCAGGTGGAACTGCTCTCGGCTTTGCGAGGCCAGAGATCTCGGCAAGAGACAGTGCCTCAAACTGATGCATGGCTCTGCACACATCACCAAGACGATCTCACGGAGCTAAGCAGCCGGGCATGCGGAGTTGACTGCTCCGGAAACGTCAGCTCGCGCTGATGCTGCACGTCTGCGTCTCCGCACTCCTCGCCCCGAGACGTTTTGCCGAGATGCCGTGTGCTTGCATGGACTCCTTTGAGGAGGAGGGTTTAGGAGAGGAGGGCTCCCTCCGTCCAAGAAGCTGAGCCCCTTCCTTGTCGTCTCTGAAAGAGACCGCATTGGAGCCGCCCGCTGGAGGCAGCCTTGGAAGAAGCAGTGGAGGCAGCTCGAAGGCACAGTCACGAAGGAAATCTTCGAAAGGACTCTCTTTCACACTGCCCTCGACGGCGGAGCCGAAGCCCCTGAAGTCAGAGCCTAATGAACAACCTCGAGACTGTGCTACCAACCCATATCCGTTCTGACTTCGCACTTCTCGCAACCACGAAGCACAGGGTGCTACTCCCTCAGACATGGCAGCCCGTAGACAAGTGTCGCCAGACCCGAGGCCGGGACAAAGCAACTGCGGGGTGCACCTCACAGTCTAGGCCAAGCAATTTACGGACGACTTTCCTTCAGTTCTGACACTGCGCTTGTTGCGATACTTGTAGTAAGCTCCCCGGCCCAGTTTGTGATGCCTTTGTCAAGGCGGGCAGCGGAAACAGCAAACACGATGAATGACAAGCATGCACCTGCCATATGTCGAACTTTCTCTGCAATCCCGGGCATGATGCCTGGAAAGCATCGCCACTAGGATCGCTCCCCGCATTTCTAAGTGTCTCTGCTCCCTCAGTCTGTGCAACATGGATTGGGTCCTGCCTGTTTCACCACGGGGGTCCATTGTGGCAACTACGAAAAATGGTTGAAGATGTTTGAAGTCTAGCAACTCGGATGCACTTGCATGACAAGCTGGCATATGTTGGCATGACTGCAGCACTTCGGACGAATATGTGCCAACAACAAGGTCGTTTATGAATATAACGATGCCGCTGCTCGGCACGAGTCTCGCAACTGTCGCAGCGTGTTCTAGAAACTTCTGACCAAAAAAGGAGAGCAAGGCAGGCTTCGCAAAATACCACTGGGACAACAGAAACGCAAGAGCCGCTTCTACTTTCATGTCAATCATATGGCTCCAAAATGACATGGTGACTTGTGCGATGCACGTTTTCGGCAACTTCTGCGACTTTACAAAGTTGAGCAGCATGCCGGAAGATTCGCTCTTAACCTTCTACGCTCGTCACTAACTTGTGACGTGCCTTCGATCAAACTGCGACTACTCGCAGTTGACGGCTTGGAGAAGTGGCGGCGCATGTCACTGTGCTGATGGGTCTGCGCTGACTTTGCCAGCAGCTCCCCACGGCATGACCTCCCAAGCTCATGGGCCTCCGGCCCCAACATTGCACGGTTCCCGTGCCTCAGAGATGTCACGAAGTAGCTAGTGCCAGATACTTTCTTGGCGCTCACAGCTGCAGAGACTGAGCCCAGAGCGTCTGCAAGGCCAGTGATCACTGTACAAAAGGGCAGCGACCAGCGGTGACCGCTGCACAGCCGGTAGCTGGACCAGGAGCAGCCTGAGGCTGATGTGGCACGACCCATCGAAGGGTTTCGAGATGCCCGCACCTTGGACCAAGGGCAGCCGAGCTCGGTGAGCTTCTTGAAAGCCTTGTCCCGCCGAGTTTGAAGGATTGTATACTCAGAGTGCGCTCTCTGTATTGACATGTTGTGCAGTCAGTTTGCGCAACATGCAGAAGCTCCACCAGTAGACCAGGCCTCCCCAAACTCGCGCTTCAACAAGTCCTCGTTTTCGGCATATGCCTGCAGGCACAAGACGCACAAGCCCGAACGGTGTTGCTAACCTGCGTCTTCTGCGATCGTGCGCCGACGGCAGTGTCTCCGCCTCGAGGTGCTCCCTAAAACCGGGATCCCACAGCAGCACCATGTCCGAAACCAGCATCATTTGATGGCCAGTCCTAGCCGCAACAGCGCAGCACGATTTCGCCATGTCCGCCCATGCTGCCGAGCTTGGGCTCCGACTGACCTTTGAGTGGCTTGCGGGGCTTCTCGTTGTAGCCTTCCGTTGGCATTCAATTGGCCGATCCTTTGCTTCTGGATGCTCCGTTGCTCCTGTTTTCCTGGCCTTCGACAATCTGCTCACACACCAGACCCACGGGGCCAGAGGCGTAGACGGTCACCTGAGACCAAGGCAGAACGACCGTGGTGTCATGCAGCGACACAGACCCCGCGGCCAAGCTGTACATGAAAGAAGCTGATCAAGGACTGATGTGGACTGGTCTGCGCATGCTACAGTATTTCCATATTATATTCTGGGTCTGGTTTGTGGCCTTATATAGGCAGGTTCAGGCTGAGTGCCTTTGTAGGGAACACACTCTCAGGGCTCCACCCATCCAGAAAAACCTCCTGCAGTCCCAGCAAGCCTGCAAAGACACATTCACATACGCTTCTGCCAGGAAGCTCACCTCTGCTTTTACAGCGCCTTCCCATGACGGAGACATCTGTGCCTGTGGCAACACAGGCGAGCAGGACACAAAACATGACGTCTTCAGCACCGCTCACAGAAAGCAAAATTTCCATTCACAGGCGAGATTAGCTAAGGCAGCGGAGGAAAGAGGAGACACTGAAGTGCCCAAATCATGTCTGTCCCATCCGGCCGTCGCATTCGATACGAACTTCATCCAAGCTGACCTCCTCGCTAGCCTTGCACATCGGGGTCGCAAACTTACAACTGCAAGTAGCGTAGCATCCGGACCTTCAGATGTCCAACTTCCTGAGCAGAAGAAGAAGGTGCTTCGAAGACGGGCGCACCTCTCTCACAGATGATGCATGTGCAAATACCGACTGAGTTTTCTCCAGTCAGCACACACACGTCAAGCAAGAATAGAAGCCATTGTCGTCATCAATGCGGCATTTTCATTGAAACTTGTTGCAGCTTGTTCAACCGGCGGTCCGTACCACTGAGGTCATGGCTCGCAACCCTGACGCGGTAGCCTGACGAGAAACAGCACGAGACGATCAGAACAGTACTCTTGAACCTGCCTATTTTTTAAGTACCACTATCGGCCACAGACGCAGCTCCAACATTGCTACCACTGACCCTGCAGGCAAGGTCAAGGTCCGGTCAAGGTGAAGACAAGGATAAGGGATGATAATAGGGACCCAGAAAAGCACATAAGCATAAGCCTTTTTATGGGGATATCCCTACCTTATTGGGCTTCATTATAAGGGGGTTTATATGGGATATCCGATATCCCTAACCTAATTTTTGCTTATGTGCTTTTTTGGGCCCAAGAAAAGGGTAAAGATGACGGATGACGAGAGTCGGGTAACGTCAGGCCAGGCGGTTACGGAAGAGTGAAGTTTCGTCAGGCCAGCAGCAAAGTGCGGCAAATTAAGGTACGGCAAGTGTATGGTCAGATACATGTCATGGCAAAAGCAAGGCAAGGTGACAAGGAACGGGGTATTGCACAGGACGTGTGAACGGTGGCGGTCTTGTGGCATTGGCTCGCTTGCTTCCAAGCGCATCTTCAAAAGAGCATGCACAACTGAAACTGGCTGAGCTCGTCGCGCCCTTGCAGCGGCTTGGGATCTAGCTCCGAGATCTTCTCGAAAAGAGGCTTCCCTTTCGGTGTGACCCAAGGGCCCAAAGGCGAAGGCGAAAGTGAGGCACTGTGGAACGTTTCTGGGGCAGGCCCCCACCTGCCCCGCTGGCCAGCGAAATCCAGCCACCACGCCTACTTCGGTGCCCATCAACACTCACTATCACTGAATATCACTGAATAATAGCTGACACAGGAACGGTAGCCAAGTGCGTTGCTCTGCGAGCCCGCGTAGCTCTGTTCCAAAAACCTGAAAGAACGGGCGCGTTGACATGCTGATGACACAGCAGGCCACAAGTGTCTTAACGTCGCTGAAATGCCAAGGCCACCAAGGCCACTGCTTTCACAGCCAGGAAGGAAAGCTCCTCGCAGATTGAATGAACTGCGTCATCCCATTTGCCATAGGTGCTTCGGGTGCCTCCTTCTGAAGGCAACGGCCGTGAACAGGCGAGGAGACATCCGGCTGTTCCTGGGTCACACTCGCTTTGAGCGCTGAGCCGGGCGGTAGCGGGCATCAGCGGGCTGAGAGTCTGGCATGGATATTGACCCACTGAGTCAAACATTTGTAGCGGCCTTCAAGCTTCAAACTTTTGGACAAGACGAGTTGACTTTCAAGGACTTCGCGCGAAGCTTCTGCCTGGTGGATACTCCTGGCGGTCCAGAGCTCAACAGGCGCATCAAAAAGCTTCAGGAGTACCCCGGTCTTTGGCGTCCGGTGCTTCTTGGGCTTCCCCATCCTCCTCCTGCGAACCGACGATGCTGTCTTTGCACGTGGAAGAATTTGTGTGTGGACATGAAGCGCTCAACTGCCTCTCCCTCGTACTTCGTCAGGTCAATATACCTCGTGGGCAACTGACGTCCCGTTCTCTAGGTGCAGCACGGCCTTTTCATCATGCCCGAGGCTAAGCGAAGTAGCGGGAGGGCTCAGGCCCGAGCTGCCTCTTTCCAGGAGCAGGTCGGACCTGCTGTTGCATCGGAAGTGTTAAGTGCTCGGTGCTCGAGCCCGGCGGAGCCTCTTCTGGCACTTGGCCTCCATCTGGCATCACCTGAGATGCTTCTGGGCTGTACCTCCTCATGTGGCTACCAGCATCTTCGGGCACAGGCCGTGTCATGCGTCACTGCAATCCACTTGTCTCCGACCTGCGACAAACTTCAAGAGCCAGGTCGCGTCTTCAACAGAATACATACTAGCATCATCCCAGCTTCAAGGTCGCACAACCGTGGCAGACTTTTTGATTGCGTACCCATCGTGCAGCAGATTTATCTACAGCGAGGAGACCGGCCAAGCTTCCGACAGGTCCGGTCCTCAAAACCCTTCAGTCACGCTGCTGCAGTGGTCTCCAGTCCCACTTGCACTGTTCAATCCCTCCGGACTGCGGTCGATTCACATGGAACCTTGAAGCCAGCATGATCTCGCATGTCTCGCTCGAGTTGCCTGTCTCCGCCGCGGCCTCATCAAAGAGGCTGATGTATAGATCTCCTTGATGGCTTCTTGTCGAGAACTGCAGATCGATCTTTGCCCTCCGCGCATCCTGGTCACGTGCTCAATGTCATGGCGTCAGGCTGCGCCAGGGCAGCCATCCGCTCCCCGCCGTTCCAACATGAAAGACCGAGGTCGTGTCTCGTTTACCACGCCGCTAGAGTTCAGCCTTCGTTGGGGGTGGTGCCGACGTTCGAAACCAATGCTCGGCTTGCTCAATTCTTTCTTCGCACTGACTCTCCAGGCGCTGGGTTGGCAGGAACCGAAAGACGGCAACCCCGGAAGGCCAGTTCGTCAACTTCTCGAACCTTAGAGCTGGGATCAGCTGGGTATCCCCAGCCACATGAACATACGTTGGCGTAGCCCTATGCAGTACTACAGCCCACGAACTGTGTGCAAGACAGGAATATTACTTAAAATTTCCAAAGATAGTGTACCGGGCGCATCCAAGGCTCTCAGGGTGCAACACAGCTATCACGCTGCCGGGATTGGCCGAAAACCATTCCTGGACTCTTACGCAGCTTTCAGAACTGGAGTGACTAGAGACTGCCTGTGGCTGTGAGAACGAGATCTTCTACTTTGCCATTAGGCCGGAACACTGACAGCCGCTGCTGTACTGCAGCGCTGCGCTTCGCAAAGATCGAACGTCGCATCCTTAAAGGAGAGAGACATCACGAGACATGAGTGGCTTTCAAGCCTCTGGGCTTGTGAAGAGCTCTGTGCCCAGGCTGAGGCTCTCCAGAAGTTCTGAGCAGTTGGACTTGGCGTCCAGGCCCTCTTTGCAACGGTGATAGGCTTCGTCTGCATATTCCTCGCGGGGACGCGACCGTAGCCTACCTCTTCCGGAGTTGCGGCATCGCTCCTGATCCATAGGACCTTCGCCTCGCCGCATCCTGCAGAGTACAAGGTGTTCTGAAGGGGCTCTGGCACTGCTCTCTCCGACCTGGTTTCAATGGGGCACACCCGAAGCTTGCCTCAGCTTACAGCAGTGAAATCCGTGCCGCCGCTGTCAGAGTATGAGCTGCGACCACGGCACTGTGCTGGACAATCAGCAGGCCGTATGGATTGGGCATTGACGGGCTATGCCTGCACTCTGGCATAACAAGACCGGACCTCGAGGTTGTGAAGCTCCAACGCAAGCCCGGGTGCAGCACATCAGCGTACTGGCCCGAGAAAGTGAGATTGCACGCCGTGCTGAAGTTCTGCCAAGCCTCCGCTGCTACGAAGCGTGCCCTTTGCTAGCCATCAGGCGATGCACCATCATGACTATGGCCCCTGCTACGCCATTCCTGAGCTGCTGATATCAACATTAGTCTGCATCAAATACTTTGGCTTTATACACGGGGAAACCAATGCCGCACGATGGTGATATTGCAGCTCTGACCGATTGGTGTCGGGGCGAAAGTCGTCCGCATTGACTGACGTGCAGTGAGTTTGGCTCTGGTGATAGGTGAGGCTGACATCACGATAATACAGTATGCCTGCCAGAAGTAGTAAGAAAACGAAACATAGCTTAACACAACACTCTACGACAAGGTCGCTGCTCTGACATAAGACACAGCACCTTTCGGCGCTTCGTTTTGAAGTTTTAGGATTGGGGTTGCCGGAATCTCATGTCCGGTACAGTCATCTGCGGTCTGTAGACAGTCCTTCTGACGTGATATGACGTGACTGTTTTACTGATCTGTTGCTCAAGCTTGAGTCCTGATGGTTGACGCTCATGCAGAGAAGACTTTCCAAGGACAGGGTGGAAGGGTCAGGCAGGGGCGGTGTATCTATGCGCTCTTGGTGCGCACTCTTGATCTGGCGTGCAGTTGCAGGAGGCAGGTAAAGTGCAATATGGCACCTCCCTCATATTCATCACTCAGTTGACGTTAAAGTTAATGCTACAGCTAACACGTTGACGCAAAACACAGCAGTTGGTGAAATTTAGGCGTTGAAGGAGGGAAAACCCAGTAGTATAGCTTTCATATGGGCGTCAGAGAAAGTGTTAAACTTTACAGAATTCTGGCACGGCCAACTGTGGAAAAAGAAGAACAAGCAGCGACACATTACTGTCGACACACTGAAGACCTTGCCCTTTTTTCCTACGTGCAGACGAAAAAGTCTGAGCACAGAATCCTAGCCAATGAAGTGGAATCAAGACATAGAATCGTGTATCTTAGCATCGAAAAAGTGAAACAGATAGAGTACATTCTACACTTTAAACAATTGATCTGCCAGTGACATGAAGATACGTATGAGGGGAATATCATGAACCTTGTACTGTGTGCCTGTAGTAAGTCTTATATATTTCCGAGAGACTGATAAGTGCAGCTGGGCAACTTGCCTGAAGGTCGCGGTGCTGCTCCGCGCATTCGGTGAGGAACATTCGGTGAAGAAAATTCGGTGATGTATGGTGACAACGTTCTCCGGTGTTGGTGTGTTGCTAACGGCTTTGACTTAATTATGTTGTGGCTTTGTAGCAAATATTCCCTGTCTTGCCTGTGCTTGCTGTATTACGTATTGTCGATGCTCATTGTTCGTATCATCAGAGCTTTCGGATCTTTCTAGCAAAGCAAATGCATCTTTAAATGTCTCCAGTAGCCATGATGCTCTTGGTTTACCTGGACGTCTATATTCAAGTCTAGGCCTGTTTGTATATGGATCTAACATGACTTGCTTCATAGGGTCTTTCGAATCAGTCCTCAATATGTGTCCCAGTAGTCTTACCTTTCTTGTCATCCATGTTAAGGAAAACTTTTCAATTGGATGGCGTTGTTCAGTTCGCAGGATATCTAAAACTTTCTGATTCGTGAAATTACGGTCGATAAAAGTGGGAGGGATCTTTAGGATTCGGCGAAGTCCTTTCATCTGAAAAGCATTCAATTTATTTAAGTCAGGTTGTGTCAGCTGTATGCATTCAAGCCCATAGAGTATCTTGCTTTTCAAATTGAATCGAACACCCTTAGCTTCCATTTAACTGTGTTTTGAGCCTTGTTCCAAAAAAGTTTTAGTCTATTGCATGTCACAGTGGCATCTGCAATGCGATTACAAACCTCTCGGTGATTATCCACCGTGTCTGTCAGTATTGAGCCTAAGTATGTGGCTTCATGTTTGCGTGGAACAAGTGACCCATTCATATGTTAATGCATTTGTCGTAATTCAAGCTCATGTTATAGTACCTGGATTCAGCTTGAATTGCGTGTAGCAGCTTGTTTATTGTATGAGTATGGGCTGCATATAAAATTTCTGCGAATTCTATTCCAGGTAAGGGCTCTCTCTGCTTTGGAGTGTTTAGCTTGGCTTTAAAATCCTTGAACATTGCAGACATTAGTAACGTAAACAGAAATGGTGAGGCACCCTTGACGAATCCCAGACTCCTGCGATTTGTATTCTGAACATTGGCTGTCCATTTTGATCCTGAACTGTGGATCTTGGTACATGTCAGCAATCAGCTGAAACATACTAGGGGGTACTTTTAATCTGCGTAGAACCTGTAAAAGCTTGGTTTGGTTCACTTTGTCGAAAGCTCTCCCAATCTAATAGAATAAGCGACAGGTTTGAATGTTGTCTTTCGGCTAGGTCCAATAATCTTCTTGCTATGAAAATAGCTTGTGTCGTTGACTTCTTGGGGCGAAAACCGTACTGTGTTTTTGTTGAATCCATGGGTCGTATGCATGTAGTAATCGCGTTCTCATCATACCTGCTAGTATTTTATAGAACCCTTGCAATAATGCCTGTAGTTTTGCATTTGCGTGGCATCTCCTTTCTTGTAAATAGCTACTAAATTGGCCTTTTTAAAAGACTCCGGGAACTCGTGGCTTTGAATCATGTCGTTGTATAGCGATAGCAAAGAATTTCGATTTGTAACGGAAAGCCATTTCAATAGCTCTGCTCGGCATCCATCTGGTCCTGGAGTTTTGTTGTTTTTTTGCGCGTCGATTGTCTTGTCAAGTTCCGGTAAAGTAAACAGTTCGTCATTCATATTGCTTGTACCTTCTATAAGTGGAGTTGTCTCTTTTTCTGGATCTAGATCATTCTCTGCCTGTTGGGCCCACTGTACCTCGGCAAAACATTCCGCTGCCGTTGATGGAAAATCCTTTTCTTTGATGATCTCACCATGCTTGTTTTCGAATTTGCATCGTTTGGGTTGGAAGGTCTTTGTTGCTTTCTTTAGGCCATCCCATTTGTATCCTTCCTTTGTGATTTCTTCAACTTCCTGTAGTAGCACCCGTTCTTCGTCTTTTTTCCCTTGCAAACGAATGTTCTTAGTTAAGTCTCGGGCCTTTATGAGATCATCTTCTGCGATCGCTTTCTGTTTGGCCTCGATTAAATTCCAGGTGGTTTCAGACAGATAGGATTTCATCTGTTCAGCAGGTATACGTGTGCAGTATTTATCCGCCGATTCGATGAGTATATCAGCAAGAGTGTCAAAAGCTTTTGTGCAATTCCAATTGTGCAGCTGCCGTTGTTCCTCTATTTTCTGCTCGACGAAAAGATTGTAAGCCTGTTTTTGAGTCTGGGTAGGAGTCCTGTAACTTTTCGGGAAAGGTTGTCGTTTGTCTCTCTTTTTCTGGGCCCATTTCAAGTGCACATCGGCAATCAGAAGGGCATGATCCGCATCCAAGATCGTTTCTTGAATGGTTGTGATATTGGAAATAGCATTTTTTCATCTGTCGTTGATAAGTATGTAATCCATTCGGGCATGCGTGTTCATATCAATCTCCATTCGGTTGAACTGTGTTGTACTCAAATTCCTATATGTAGCAAGGAACGGAGAGGGCTTGTCAAACCAAGTATTCAAAGGAATCATTTTGTGAGAAAAAATGAAGACCTGGCCCTGGCACCCAGAAATGTCGTCGAGAAAGTTGCAGCTGATGACGGCGCCGATGATGATGTTAGTGGTAGTGGGTAGTGGTAGTAGCATTGGCAGTGGTGGCGGCAGTGGTGGGGGCAGTGGTCGTGTAGCGATAGCGATGGCGACAGTGATGTCGATAGCAATAGTGATAGCAGTGGTACTGGAGACAAGATACGGGTGATGATGCGGCTATCTTCTGATTCTAATAGCGACATGGACGAGTCCTCCAGAAGGCGAGCTACTAATCATGAGCCCAGCATCCTTTCCAAATGCTGGGCATAGCGCTCTCGCATCGGTGGGAAAAAGCAGCTGTCGTCACCCAGCTTCTGAAACACGCCTGCTTGGATAAAGATAGCTGTCAAGTTTTTCGTCTGTCGAAGCTTGCAAAGCTCCTTGGCTTGGACGCAGCCAATGCAGCTAAAGGTGTGCTAGAGTGCCCGTTCCCGCATCCACGGTCAGCCACAACTTAAGACAGACAAGGCTCGTGGTGGACTGACTCCTGAGATGTGAGCTCGGTCGGGGCTCTGCAATCTGGTGCTGAGAAGAAGAGTTGCTGCCATGTTTCTGTTGACTGGCGATTGTATGCCTGCACCTCTGCCAGCACGCCGTGCTTGCTGTACTCGTTCAGCCTAGCAGAACTCTGCGGGACCTCCTCCGCTGCCTACAACTCACGCAGCAGTCAATACATCATGCCAAGGCTGGCGAGGGGCATCTTCTGAGTTTGGAAGGTGGGGTGGCCCTTCGTGACATGCCTCCAGCAAGCCAATCAGCCGGGTGGATTTTTGCGAGTACATTTGCGATGCTAAGAAACGGAAACACGTAGACCGATCCGGATGATAGATGGGGACTTTGTTGCTGTAGCACCTTCACAGGCTGCAGATTCAAGTGCAGGTGTCAACAGTGCCTTACACGGTTGCACAGCGGAATGCCTCAAAATTGGCGTCGCCGTCGCCGGCAGCATCCTCGACAAGAAAACTTGCAGAAAGGCCTGCACCGAGCAACTTGCTGCTTGCGAGATGCTGATGCTGCCCAAATGGACAGCAGCAGTATTTGGGCAGCTGTGTCGCTCCATCTCCGGACCATACCAACCCGGTGCTTATGAAAGACAGACTGGTCTCAAGAATGCCAGGCTGATCGAGGTAAAACTGCGACGCTTGAAGGAGTCGTGCTGGCATCATGTTTGCAAGAGGCACGTCGCTGAGCCTGAAATGTGCTGATAGCAAGCTCACAGTGATGCGAAAGACAGCCGAGAGCAGTGGCTGGGGTTTCGACCATGTCGGCTGCGTACTCGTTGCTGAAAAGGGTTGGCATCTCCACCCAGGCTCCGGCCTAACTTCAATGGAGATGATGATGACAATAATGTTTATCATGATGCTTTTGATGTTGATGGTAATTTGGTCATGGTGATGCTGATGATGATGATGATGCCCCTGATCCTGATGATGATGATGATGCGGGCGAACTCCGCACTGTCCACTGCATGTGTGTAGTAGGGATGCGGCATACCCGGAGCCAGTCGATTCTGGGTGGCAGCGTCCATAAATGTGGCCACCGCAAATCAGGGCTACGGCCTTTCAGACGTACATCGACTGAAGCTGATCTTCACCCCCGCATAAATCACTCCCGACTGGTGAAGCCCAGACCTCCCTGTCAGTGATGCCCATCCGTCCAAAGACGTCACGGATGTGGTGAGCGAGGTTCTCCCAGCCCTGCAGCACACAGAGCCTGCCGGACCACTCCAAGGTCCAAGCGCCAAGCCTTCAGACGGCCTTCCTCATCAACCTGACAGCCACAACACAGCCGTGACCCTACCCCAGCGCTGCCCAAAAGCTCTCGCCTCCATGCCTGCTGCCAGGCCGTGCTCGGCCCCAGGAAGCCTGCCCGGGGCGACCTTCATGCGGTGATGGCGAAACTTTGGGCAACACAAACGGGAGCTGCTCGCACAGATGTGCAACAGAGGGATGAGAAAATTATTCTAGCAACCCAGGCTCCTGCTTGAAGGAAACGGAAATGCCGGGACTCTGGCCGCCTTTTCTTCAGGTGCGTCCACGCGACCACCAGTGAAAGCAATCCTGCTGTTGCCACGAAGACACTGAAGCCGTTGAAGCAGTGAGGCCGATTGATCTCGTTGACTGAATTTTCTCTGGAAGTGCCGACTATCGATGCAGAAAGCTCGTGGTTGCCTTGCACGCATCTGCGATTATCAAAATGCGAAAAATGAAGCCTTGTCCGTGCTTATCGAATGACGAAGAATGAACACCATGTTGTATTAGGTGTCGACCTGGAACCCTCCAACCAACTCCTGCAGCAACCTGAGCGGCTCCGTTGACCCTCCTTTTGTTTGGGTTGTTTCTCCTGCCTACGGCTGTCTACCGTCTTCCACCAGTCACCTGATTGGATGGCTTCCCAGCACCACTCAGATCCCGTTCGCAGATTTTTCGACAACGGCTTTTCCCTTCATGGAATCGTCACCGGCAAACGAGTTTTCTACTCGACCCATGGAGGAAATGGAAGAAACGTCCACGCCGCTACAACAAGGTGTCTTCTACTCAAACACGAAGTAACTGGAAATTACCAAAAGATCCGGAAGACGGACAGCCACGGGCGGGTAGGATTCCGTTTGAATTCGCCCACATTGCAATAACTCAACAAACATCGGTTGCGTCATGCTTTCCCGCTACCAGGAGAAACCTTACGACAAGGTGACCCAACATGTGCACTGTTCTTCAATTGTCGCATTTCAATGGTCGCAATGCACTTACCGCCAGGCAGCAGGACCACCCGCGGGCCCTGTTGCTGGCCCATCCCCTTTCGGAGCAGAAAACGCCACTTGGGGATGCACACCTGGTTCACATCAATCGCTGTAAAGGCACCGCCTACTCCAGGGTCGATTGGAAGAAGAGACAACGAGAGACAGAGACAGCGAGAGACGGAGACAACGAGACACGGAGAGAGCGAGAAACGGCGAGAGCGAGAAACGGAGAGAGCGAGAAACAGAGAGAGCGAGGGAGAAGGAGAGGGGGAGGGACTCAGAGACTAGTATGGTGGTAGTACAGTAGCAGGACAGTAGCAGTACTTTCTGACATGGCAGACATGGCGATGCCACAACGCTGACTAATGACGAAAACCTCAGCAAGGCCCCGCAAATCTGGACAGGTGTGCAAACATATGCACAACCTGCCTGATACTACAGTACGAGTAGTACAGTAGTAGTGCAGTAGTAGCAGTAGCAGTAGTAGTGGTAGTAGTAGTAGTAGTAGTAGTAGTAGTAGTAGTAGTAGTAGTGGTAGTGGTAGTGGTAGTGGTAGTGGTAGTGGTAGTAGTAGTAGTAGTAGTAGTAGTAGCAGTAGCAGTAGCAGTAGTAGTAGTAGTAGTAGTAGTAGTAGTAGTAGTGGTAGTAGTAGTAGTAGTAGTAGTAGTAGTAGTAGTAATGGTAGTAGTAGTAGCAGTAGTAGTAAAGTAATAGCAGACTAGTAGTAAAGTTTCGGCACAGTAGTAGTAAAGCAATGGTACAGTAGTAGTGCATTAGCAGTACAGCGGTAGTACACTAGTAGTACAGTAGGAGTACAGTACGGGGGTTTAGCAGTACCTAGAGACCTAGAGCAGCTTGGCGGGGTTTGGGGATCCGCCAAAAAGACATTGACAAGACAGGGTTTAAGATTGGGGGGCTAGGGTTTAGGGTTCCTTTGAGGGCGCACTAAAGGGTTTGGGGGCTTGGGAGTTTAGGTTCCTGATCCTCTACTCAATTAAGGTTGACCATTAGCCAGTAGCAGAAAGGGCCGAAGCAAACCCAAATAAAAATCCGGTCCAAAAAAATGCATTACACACATCGTCCAATTTGTTACCAAAAAATGAATAATCCGAAAGAAACGCAAAAAAGAGGCTCAAGACGCTAAAGATAGTCACACATTTATCAGTGAAAAGCCTCAAAAGTTGATTTCGTGTTTTCCGAATGATTCTAGACCTAGGCAGCTGCTCCCAAAACCTCAGGGGTTCTTCACGCCGTCGCTTACAAAACCTAGGCGAATCCTGCTAAAGCATGAAGGCTCGGATACCCCCGACACGGGTTTATCATCCGAACTGCTCTATATCTTCCTTCGGTTTGTTGAAGGTTGAAAACGAACGTCGGAGGGGGCGGGGGCCCGGCATGCATTTGTCGTACATAGTTGGCATTGTCTCATGTCAACCTCACCCCACTTGATGGCTGTGCCACGAACACCGTTCATCATGTTGGACCAGGCAGGTGGGATTGCAGCGGCTCTCAGTGGCGACTGCTTGTCAGGCAAAAACTGGTAGCATGTTGCCCGATGTTGCCCGGTTGGAACGTTAGTTCCCACATTCACACGGTTTACACCTGCCAGAGCCACCCGGAGGTCACATGACAAGCTCATCGGGGAGACGCCGGAATGCGCATGAGTCAGAACGAGGGATGGAACGAAAGTCAGCTCGTAGCCTATAGAGCTACAACCCATCTGTGACTTTGCCGTCACGCCCGTTGCGCCACCCGAATGTCAAGTAGCTTAGGTGCTGCGTCGCGTCTACGAATCTATACACCTTTGCCCCCACAGCCGGACAATCCTTGGACCATTCGTGTTCTCGAGTGCGACGTAGGAAGCCAGGATCCAAAGGTCTGCATGAGAGATCCAAGGATGCTTGGCCTCGCAAAGCGAATCCCCGTCTCGCTGTCGGCCCGACTCTGAAAATGCTCTGAAATCCAAGTCTAATTGCTAGTCTAAACCTGGTACCGCACCTTCACAGGCTCGAGTAAAGCTCGGGCGTGCTCCAAGTACGCATTCTCCGGATCATTCATCTGGCGCGCCACTAGCAACTTCGAAGTTCCGCTGGAAACATCACAGATGTCACGGCAGCTTGCGTGATTGACATTCTAACATTATTATGCCTGGGCTGGCTTTTCTGCACTGGAGCCACTCCATCTACAAGTCCGACACCTCCAAGGCGTGTCTCATGGTGGCTCCGTTGGAGCCCCCAGTGCCGTCCACTTTGTCGTAGGTGCCTCTCTGCTTGCTACTTCTCAGAAACCGAAGCAGAGCAAGGAAGGCACCACGTCACCGCACCACCCGTTGTGCAAAGTTAGGCTTCGCCTGAGGAGTGCCAGGCCAAACGGATGAGGATCGGCGCGTAGCTGCCGTCATCCTGAGTTGCGCCAGAGAAGCTTCAAGCACAGGTCCGCAAAAAACACAGCTCAGAGGCGGTCCCATTCAGGTGCCGACATGGCCTTCTGCAAGTCCTGTCGGACCACCTGGCCACCGACAAGCCGACTACGCGGCTCGGGGTCACTAAGCTTCGGCAGGTGCAGTAAGCTCACATCTCTGCTGTAGTCTAGTAGTCGTTCGTTGCACTCAGATCTCCGATCGTTGATAAACAAACTGAACGCCTGCCTGGTACAAGGCGGCTTGGGGGCCCTCGAAGAGCATCCGTGCAAAGGACCTTACCCAATCAACCCATCAGATCCTAGAAGGCTCGTCGATCTTAGATGCACCTCTGCTCTTGAGGCAAGAACGTCAGTTTCAGTCTTCCCGCATCCAAGCCCAAGCCCTTCGTCAAGGACATTAGCTTGGCCTTCGACTTCAGCATGGACGCTTTCTGTCCCATGACAGCAGAGCGACAATGACGCCTCGTCCCAGAAGGATCCTTTGTCAAGGGCTTTGACAAGCTGGACCAATTCCTGAAGAATGGGTGTTGGGAGATAGTCGAACTGAGTGATGTGACACCTGACGACGGAGCCACTGCATCTTGCTTCAAGCTTCAGCTTACGACCTAACAAGAATCTCCTGCTCTCCGATGGTGCCATCCACGCTCCTGGACGTGAAGCGTGCGAACTCCACGGATCGGGCTGAACGATCGAGTTTGTTCTATCATCTGGAATTGGGGTGACGGCAGTCGTCAATGTCGTGTCATTAGCTTTCTTGCACAGGCACTCCCACAGTAAGGAAAGCTCGTTTCTGTCTTTGGCCGTGCATATGCCCACCCATTTACCATGCTAGACCCCCCATCTGCTCACAAGGGCTACTGCTTTACCTGGAATGGCACCCGAGTCAAGAGCCTGTCGTACTTCTCGAGGAGGCATAACCTGAACTAAAGGCTGGCAGGTTCCTCTGCGTGCGCGTGAGGTCAATCAGCATGGACAACTAGCAGCACTTGAGATCCAGGCATGTCCTCCATGGAGGAGGGTGCGGGTGGTGCAGGTGGTGGGGCCATCTTTAGCTTCGCCAGTCTCGGCGCTCAGCCAAGACTCTTCAGCACAGCATCGACACCTAAGCTCCTGAGTGTGACCTCTGCATATCTCGAGTAATCCTTCTACTCGACCCAGGCAGACATCTCTCTTTCCGAGCTCCCAGAGGTGTCTTCGAATTGATCTGGTTCTGTACAACTGTATAACTGCGGCACTTTCCAAAAGAATCGCAGAAAGGGAGGTCATGCACAAACAATCAGCGAGCCTGCTGGGACCCACATACAAGAAGCAACGACTCAGGCTACCTGCCATCGCAGCTGCTCTCCTCTGGCGGCAACTTCTTTTGGACGATATCAAACTGGGTGAGTGCGATCCTGGGTAGCTGTTCCATCCACACATCACGAAAACCTCCCCTCAGCTTGCGATAGCTGAGGTGCCGTTGCGACCTTTCCATGAAGTCAATGGAAGTCGCCTTCACTCATGACTTTGACAAACTCTTGGTAGTCGATCTTACCGTCGCCGTTCCTGTCTGCTTTCCTTACCATCTCGTCCAAATCCTCATCATTGAAAGGTGTATCATGCTGCTGAAATGCCCAGCGCAAATCATCCGTGCTGATGAAGCCGTCGTGATCGTGATCCAGGCTCTGAAAGGTCTCATGCATCACCTTGCTTTGAGCCTCTCGCTGGAGCTTCAAGACGCCTGAATGCACATTCTGGTTTTGAAAATGGCCCTTGCGCAAATGGTCGACTTTTGTGTTCGGCTGGTCCGGCTTCAGGTCGGAGAAGAAGTGATTTGTGTCGCGATGACAAGCTTCGTCTGCTCGAATTTGCAGAAAAACGTCGCGCACCATGGCTTCTTTGGGAAGGTTGTAGTACTGGCGTGCAAAGAGCGGAGCCTTCATGTTGGAAAACATTGGAAGCTGGCCAGCTTCGATGGCATCGATAAGCTTGGAGTAAGTGATGACAGCCTCCTCCTCGAGGTAGCCGACAAAACGATGACAGTATCGGGGACAGACGAGGTACATCAAACTGTACCAAGTGAGAAATACCCCCTGACCTGCAATGACAATCCCTCTGAAGATTGGGCCAGGACGTCGCAAATTCAGTGCAATCAGGAGATGCATGCGCTCATTTTCGGCCTCAGCCAGCAAGGAATGTATCCAGCCGTGGTCTCGGCGCATGAGACGCAGCGAATGCAAATGACGCACCATACCCGCCACCATACCTGGCACTCCTGCAACTGTTTCCAAGAAGATCACACGACGAAGCCAATCCCTCTCGTGCATAGCCCCCAAGGTAGTTCGGAATTTGTAGCCAGAGAAGAGATCGAAGCTGGACCTGAGGCTCCTCACAGTCATGTAAGATGCCCAGTCAACCCAGTCAGTGGGCTTCCGGTGCGTGGTGCTAACGGCCGCGAGTTCGTCGCCGGACCAGCGGTTAGCTGTGATCAAATGGCTGAGGTCGAGGGAAGCTTCTTCGGGCTTCTTCAGCTCACCAGCCACGTTCGACTTGTTTCGGACAGAGATGGCCCCCAGGAAGTGGTAGTATTGCTTTGCAGGGTTCTGCGGATGCAGCTGGAAAACCTGTCGTCGCAACGTGGCGCTGAGGGAAGTCATCATGGCTGAGGACCCCAGGCGCCAAAACAAAGCAGGCAGAACCCCCGAGATGCAAAACAGGTACAATGAAGACGCTGAGATGCAACTAGTCTAGCCTGGCCTGGTGATGCTATACCCTCCATGTTTTCGTTTGGCATCGAAGCCATAAACATCTCTCTTCAGTCGGCAGCATCGCATGAGGCAGCTACATGCAACTGTCATCAACATGTCCTGCCTAGGTAAAGCTTGCCGGTGCAGCACTTTCCCAAGCACCAAGGAGAAGCTGCGAAAGCGTGGCGCTTTTTGTGCTGCATTGTCAGGTCCCGATCCAAACATCGCAGTGCTTCTGCCACAAGGCGTCGAGACCTCACATGCGCATGATGCCGAGGTGAGGCTTCTGCATCACAGGCTTCCGAGAGGCAGACGCTGGCGAGTGCCGGAGCTTAGACTCGCCAGGAAGGGGTTGCTGGCACTGGCGGAGCCCTGCTCCGCGTACTTGGCCTAAGCGAGCAATCGTTTCTCCAAGTTCTTGAAACTCGTGGCATGTGGCGCCAAGCTGCGAAGCTGCAATCCAACATCCAAGACTGCCACTCAGGAACCTGGGAAAAGGCTGCAGAAAAGAGGAGCTTCAAGGCTTCAGTTTCCACACCAGTCTGTCATCCAAGACCTTCCAATGAAAAAGAACGGCGAGGGTCGAACGTCAACAAGCAAAACACGAACCTAGTAGACAGCGAAGGTCGTACAATAACATCTGCATGTAGGCTTCGAACCGCATCGTCAATGCACTTGCTAGAACTGCGCCGCGTTTCTTCTCGAGCACAGCGAGTTTGGAAACAAGCAGAGCGGGGAAAGATCACTCTGGAGGAAAAGGGACGAGAAAGACGGGCAGGCACACCAGCAAAGATATCTGCAAGCAAGAATGCTCTAGTGCATCCCGGAACCAGTGATCTTTATTCAAAGGGGGCGCCAATCAAGTAAATGGAGAGGTCTGATGCTGAAAACAGGAAACATGAGCCAAAACAGCGTCCTCAAGCATTTCTGACGAGCACATGGTCGAGATGTTGTTTGGGCCGTTTGCCCTGTCGTGTCTTAAAAAACTTTATCGTATCTCTTTTCTCATTTGGTGCATCTCCCTACGGCTTGCTGAAAACATGACTTCATGATATTTCATGCAGATCCTTCCAGAAAGAGGGCTTTTTACTCGGGTGATGTGTGTGTGTGCAGCCGGCAATAAGGCATTCGCTGAGCTCTTTGCTGGAATAGGAGGCACAGCATGAGCACCGTGAAGATGCAAAACCTTAGCGGGACTGAATCAGCGCAACGGATTCGGGCAGCGGCAGCTGCAAGAGACGGAGGCTGGTACTTCTGGGCATGCAGCGCCGAGTCAGTTGTTGAAGACATGACGACACGGCAGGCTTACAGCGGCTTACAGCACTTCAGCGAACCAAATCCCAAGTAGAGAGAGCTTGGCTGACAATGGCTGCCAAAAACATATCTCACTACGGCAGCTGCGGCTACAGAAACACCTCTCTGCACTTGGAAGTCAAAGACCACGTGCTCGAAAACTGGGCCGCAAGCCGGCGGTGGCACCAGGCCGTTCATGCTAACAACTCCTGGACTCGCCTGCACAGGACCTTGCAGGAATCGCCGAATTGATCAACTGGTGCTGGGGGCCGAGTCTGTAAGCCCTAGCACGCAGTGCTTCACAAAGGGCAAGCACTGGCTCTTTTGATGGCGTAGCAGATTAGCGAGAGCGGAAGGAACCATCATGCCCCGATACTGGTAGGCATTGCTGCGTTTTCTTGACAGCATCAATGAATCATCAAGCTCTATGAGCCCAACTGATTGTCTCTACCAGCCTGGTAGGTAGGAATGTGCATGCGTGCGATTTGCTTAGCGACAGGTGGTTTCGCCGTTCTGGAAGTTGTAGCGGCAGCATGTCATCATCAACGACACACCCTCAGTGCGTTTGCACTTGAGTGGCCCCATACCTTTGCCAAAGACGCATTCAGGGCCAATACCGTCCACGGAAACCTGGGCCACGGCCCCGACCGAGATGCCGATGTTGCATCCGGTGCTCCCACAGCAGAAGCTACCCCCAACACCCACTCCAGTGCGAGCTCCGCCGGTTCCAGGACCAACCGTGACTCCAAAGCCAATGCAAACAGAAGCGCTGGGTTTGGCCCCGTCCTGGATCAATTTCCGCAAGTCAGCTCCAGCGCCTGCTGTCAACCCGAATCCTCCGCCAGCATTTGTCCCGAAGGCTTTCGAGTAGCCGATCGAAGAGTAACGACTCGTTGCGCCGAAGCATTCAAAGACACTCGACACGAAGTCCGCCACGGCCTGCCACAATTTAATCTGTGTTTCGCATACACGCTTTTACTCGCATGCATCTAGACCAAGCTCGAAAATAGCTGCAAGAAACTGCAACACAGCACGGGACGCGACGACACCCGTGATGCTATGTCGGCAAGTACAAGCCTCTACAAACCCGAGAGCCCTTTCTGACCCAGGGCTAGCCTGCACCACGGCCGACACCGTTTCCACGACGGTTTCGACGAGCTTCTTCCACCACCTTCGGCGGCTGCGTCTTCTTCTGCGGCTCCTTCGCCTGCGCCGACGGCGCCGACGGCGGCCGAACAACTGCTCGCCAGCTTCCTCTTGACCTTCCAAGAGGGCCAGCTGTGCGTGCTCTGGGTGCTCGTCCAGACGTTCTTCTCCCTCCTCATCCTCCGAAACCGGCATGTCATCCTCGAAATCCTCGTCCTGCAGGAGCTGCTGGTCATCCACGAGCTCCGTCGACCCGTCGGCTGAGATCTCCTGCATCAACGCCAGCGCCGCCTCGGTGAAACGAGCATCAGCATGTTGCTTCACCCCCGTGCTCCATTGGTGAGGCGGGGTGGAGCATGAAAGGTCTCTTCCTCACGCCCCTGCGCAAGGGCATACGCTAGCTTGTGCAAACAAAGCCGGGTCGAAGACTACTGCAACGCGGTAAAGGCGATCAAACTGTTGTGTCTGCAGCTGGTGCAAGGAGTAGGCATGGCCAGTCAGCTACGAACCGTCCGTCCTGACAGGAAGTTAGGTGCCCTGCCGTACATCTGAAACTGTTTTCAAGGGAAAACCCTTCAGTCCTCTTGTAACCCCAAATCGCGATTCAAAAGGTTAAACAGCGTATACGAGCTTCCTAAGTACTTCCAGGCTGGTCAGCGGTTCCGGTTCCGCAGCTGCAGTACGAGCCATCAGTTAAAACGTGCTTTGTCATGCTGACTGGGCCGCTGGGCGCCCGGCGTGGCTTGACACGTTGCCTTCGGCATTGCGCTGCTTCCAGCTTTCGTAGAACTTCCCGAACTCCACGCGATCCACCCACCGAAGGGCCTTGGTCTCGTTGTTCAGGATGACTGGCATGGGTAGCAAGTGGTTCAAAACAGCGCGGCGGGTGATGTGGGCATAGTGCCGGAAAGCTTCCTCGGACCGAGCATGTGCATCGCTCCTGTAGAATCTGTCTGCAAAAGCAGCACCATGCTTGTTCGTGAACCTGACCAGTTCGAGATGGAGTTTCTGACGGCTCTTGATGTGAGCGTGCAGCTGGGAGGTTGAAGATTCCTGCATTAGGGCCACAGAGTGGCGGTGCGATGCCAGGTGGATGTCCAGAAAGTTGGTGTGGTCGCAGCCCAGCACGTTGCAGACTGGATGCCAAGCCTCCTGCAAGCGATCCACCGTGTGATCCAACGAGGCATTTGCAGTGTGCTCCGCCAGGATCTGGTGTGTGGAGCGGGCAGCGTGGTGCATGGCGGAAGACACAGCCGAGGTCGATGCATCGCTCTGGAGTAAGGAAGCAGGATGATCGTGGGAATGATCATTCTCGTCGCAGACGAACTCGCTTGGAATGTCCATGTCTGCACCGATCTCGGTCGGGTCCTCGGATCCGAGACCATATTTGATGGCCTCCCAGACGATCGTGTTGAAGCGCGTCACCTGCTCCAGAATAGAAGCATACGCTTCTGTATTCATGTACTTCGGGACGTCACGCTGGACCAGGCACATGGCAATCTCGATGCACTCCGGGATGTATATCTCCGCATGGAGTGGGCAGTAGCGGGAGGCATTCTCACCCAAGACGTCGTAAAGGACCTCATAGAACCCCTGAACTTTGTCATAAAGCATCAGGAGGTCTTGATGAGGATCCATACCAAAGTAATAAGTGAGGTTCGCATTGTGAGGCACGTCCCTGGAGTTGATCAAACCGGAGTAGTTCGAGAGATTCACCAGCACCAGAGACAGTGCCATCGACAAGTCTGCATGCGGCCCATACTCTTTGAGAGGGTCAGGCCCCTCCGAAGCGACGTTCACAGAGGTCCACTCCTGATCACTCGTGGGGTCGCCCTTCAATTTGTAAGAAGCTACCGGAACCAGGCTTAGCAGCACCGGCAGCAATCGCTTCATTGCTGGTATGTCTTCTAGAGGAAGGGTGGCCTAGCGGCCAATGTGGCAGTTGAGCTCAACGGCTGGCAGCACTTGCGCAATGCAGAATCTGAGTTGAAGACTCTATCAGGCTTGTCTTCAATGTTGCTGGGTCATGGAAGAATGACCTAGTACAACCTCAGCAAGAATCGACTCCTTCCTAATTCGTGAAGTTCATCCCGGTTTGATGCTCTGGCAGTGCACCTACAGCAGAAGGACCTCTCAGAATTGGTAGTCGTGCCGATGTGGGCACATGCAAAGGCTGTCCCACATCAAAGGAATGCACGCCCGCTGCCTGGGCCTACGCCGTGCAGAGGCGGCGCATGGTGGCGACCGCATGCGGGCCTTTGACTGGCCAAATGTCGGCCAACGTTCTGCGATCTCTACAGTGCAAGCGGGACGAGAAACTTCTCGACGGAAGCTCTAAGTTCACATCCAAAAAGCTAAAGCATCACAGCTCTTCTGTGAAGCCTTCCGCGGGAATACACATCTCGGCGTGCACCGCACCCTGATCTGCAGCAGAGAAGCGTCCGCCACGAAGCTTGAGCATGGCTGTGAGTGGCTGTAACCGTCGGAGTGCTACGGTCTTGGTGCAAAGCTAAAGGCGATGCTGGCACACTCTCGGCTCGAGCGCTTGGGAAGGGACCGCATCCACCGGCGGTGGCATGCATGCTCCGACCACGTCCGTCCGGAGGGATAGCTGCCGTTGTGTCTAGGAGTCCTCGAAACTAGTAGTTCCTTTCTGAAGAGCTGATTTCCTGCCTACGGCTCGAAATGCTTCCTGGTGAAGGGGCAGCAGGCAGCCGCTCTCGGTCCTTGACGGATAATTTTCAACCCCTGTTTGATACAAATCTATACAGTGAAAGCAATCTCGCTCGGCATCACTGAGTATCACTGACTCTCCAGGCTTGTCGAGCACAGACATGTCCCACAGAGTTACTTCACGTCTATCGGCGTGCCTGCCGGGCTTGCTTCTTTTGGCCTTGCAAGGAGGCGACAGGAGAATCGATAACGGCTTGATCCGGGGCAGACCGATGCCAGTACAACTCCATAGGTTCATAACTCACAATTCATTGCACCTGGAGGAAGCTTCGAGCTCATGCCTCGCTTCTGTGCTTTTTCGCCTGCGCAGGAAACCAATCTCGGTCCCACCACCCACGCCCGTGTCATGTATTCAACGCTGTTAGGGGTCGAGTGCCGCCCGGCGGATTGAAAGTGTACAAGTCACGACAAGCAAGATGTGAGAATTTCTGTCGCATCATCTCGCGACTCGCTCTGAAGTGGCATCTGCCTCCGCCACTCGTCCCGGGGGTCGGAAACGGCTGCTGTGGGAACTGCTCCTCATCAGGCATGTATAAGCATGTGCTGGCATCATGCACGAGTTTGCAAGGCGCTGCGTTACCTGGCGAACACCTGCACGGTTACCACAAGCGTCACACGACATCCAGTGTACTGCCCCGGGCCGATCGTTCAACCCACTAGTCGAAGGAGCTCGTAGACTCCTGACTCCCCCCCGCACAACAAAAGTAGAATAATGTGTTTGAAACGCCGTGGCACTCGCTCCGAGGATAAAAGAGTAAAAGAGACTTTTAGCCGCTCCGCCGCTCCGCACGAGTCCGTTACATCCCAGTTAAACACTACGTGTAGCCTGCGGCTCGAAGCTGTCGGCCCGGGGATGTAGAGGCTGCGACCGATCGGGACTTACTCGCAAGAAGGCGCAAACAAAGCTTCCGGCCACTTCTGCTTGGCTTGGTGCCATCGCATCCTGCGCTGTCGAACGCAGTCCCACAAGTCACTCGGAGAGCCCGTCGAACCCCGCGGGGGGCCGGGGGCCGCCAGCCTGCGGAAGACTCAGTGCTTCGAGCCTCGACTGGATCGCCGCCTCAGGAGCGATGCGAGAACTCTTACAGGGCCCTCAGTCCTTGCCGTGCACCTCCCGGTCTGCGTACTCCGCCAGCTCGAAGCCCAGCTGCTTCTGAAAGAACTCCAAGTGCTCGGCCTCGAAGGCAGCAGGCTGAAGGCAGCAGGCTGCAGGCAGCGGCACGCGGCGTTCTGGGCGCTGCTTTACTCGACTTCGGCGTACAAAGACGTAGGGCCTCATCGCCCTCGAAAACTAGGGACACCATCCAGCCCACTGAGCCGAAACGGGCTGTCCGCCCGGAACGGTGCAGGTAGGTTTCCTGCCGTGAGACAGAAGCCTTTTAGGAAGTCTCAGGGCCGCTGACACTGTGGATCCTTCTCCGTTGGCAGGTCCAGGTTGACAACCACATCCACTTTCTCTGCATCAATGCCGCGAGCCATGAGGTCCTCGGCCCCCGAGTGCAAAATGGCTCGCGTCTCCGCGCTAATGCTGCTCCGTCGGTAAGAAGGCGACCGTGCAGACGAGGACTCGATACTGGAAGCGCTTTAGCCCAGCGAAAGCCTGTTGACGACACGAGAGAAACTTCCACTCCGGCCGCACGAAAGACTTAGAGGAAAGTTTTGACATGGAGTCGCATGTCCAGAAAGTGGGCACAGCAATTCCCCGACAAGGTGTTCGGCTCAAATGTTACAAGGGTCTGCACTGTTGAATCAAGAGGCCTGCGCCCGCCAGGCTTGGTCCAGCTTCCCGGTGCTTGCAGCCGCAGGCACTCCGGCCTGGTTGCGCCGCATTCAAACGTCAGGAAAGCGACCAAATCTCACCATCGGCAAACCTGATTCAGCAGCTCCGCGATCTGGATGGCATTGTTGGAATCCCCAACAAAGACGAAAGCCTGCAGAATATTACGAGCAAAGCTTGCCTTGCCACATTCTCGACTCTTGACAGACACAGGCCTGTTGGTAGGCCGCCGTCGTTAACACTTCCAGCAGTGCCGGCACCTTTTGCCTGACATGATAGCCTGAGCCGGCACACTGCTATGATAACCTTGACCGCGACGTGTCGTGCTGCTTTCGAACCAGCTGATGGTGTTTGCTCGGCTGAAACCTCTTCCAGCTCCCCCTTATCAATCTTATCAACTGTGACCATCGCTACTGGACTCCAAGCAGTGCAAAGGCCCGGAATAAAATGCAGCGGGGAAGCCTTGCAGCACGTACCGGAGATGGAGCACTCCCTGCAAAGCGCACACCATCAGAGAGAAGCGTACCGCCGCAGCTTCTAGCTGGCAGTTCTGATCAACCTTGAGCAAAGCTGTCTCCACGACATCAGCGTCGTCTCCATCTTCTTGCAGGATGTTCAACCCATCCTGGACTAGTCTGAACGAGCTGTGCACGGAGCTGCTAATGTTTTCGACAGGAACTGCACAGGTCCTCATCTTTCTTCACGGCTGACGTGCACAAGAAGACCTGTGAAGAGCGAACAGTGCAAGCTCTGCAGCATGGGTTGGGTACGTATCTGGCCAACGGAGCCTTGTTCGGCAAGTCTCGCATCACAGGTTGACCCCGGGTTGCACGCTTCTTTTCCACCTGCAAAGATCGGAACAACGTCCTGGATGTGGCTGAACTTCTTAACTCGTCACAGCTTGAGGTCGTGGCATGGACGAAAAGATCCTCTGCAAGTGCGACAAGTGGTGGCGGAAAGGTGGCAGAAACAGCCAGAAATTGAAGAGACCTGAAAGCCAGCAGATCGCGAGAAGACATAAACATGCGCGCCAGAGAAAAGCCAGACAACAAGTCTGCGATACGTGCTGAGATCCGAGCTTGGTGAAAACCAGCTCTGTTATCGAAATGATGTCCTGCCTGGGCAGGTGGAGTCGAAGAGGTGCTGCATTGCTTCGTCGGCGTTGTGCAGCTGCGCAAGCCGTTTTGACACGTGGGCGACTTGTCGACTCACGCTGGAGATGCTACAGCTACAGACTCCGCCACCTTGCCATGTCAATCTAGGAGGCAATGAGGAAGCATCATCGGCCGTAGGTGCCTCTTGCTCCGCCAGCATAGCCACCCCCGCCTCCGCCTCCATACGCACCTCCCCCGCTGCCATACGTAGATCTCGTCTGCTTGTAAGGCGCAGGGGGGGGTGGCGTGTATGGCCTCTTCTGGCCACCATAGCCAGATGCGCCCCCACCACCCCCGTAGGATCCCTTGCCACCTTTGCCATATCCTCCCTTGCCCTCGCCTCGATCATTGCCTCGTTGCGCTTGAGGTCTGGAGAACTTGAGCCTAGCTGTCTCATCGCCAGCGTCTATTCTTCTTTGGCGCTCCCTTCGATTATCCTCCGTGAGCTTCACGAAGCGCTCTAATGGAGTCTCCTCGGGCTCGTCTGCCTTGAGATGGCCACTGGCATCAACACTCACTGAGTCCTTCAGCAACTCGACGAGCTCTTCAAACTCTTTGACACCAAACTGGGAGAAGTTCCACGCTTTTCTGAAGTACTTCTGGTAGTAGAAGCCCAAGTGCTTCAAATCGAAGCTTGGCCTGTCAGGATCATTCAGGTCCTTCTTGAAGGAATGGGCTAACAAGTGCAGCTCATATCTCGTACTGAGCAAAATCCAGTCTTCGTACTGGAACTGCCCAAAGAGCGGCTCTCCATTACCAATGTCGTTGATGTCCTCCACTGCGAGGACCTGGAAGTCTCACGAATCTAACACCACTATCAGTCCGGCTCGCTTGGGAGAGGAAGCCTGTCCCGGTCTGATCATGATACAATCATAGAGGCACAGAGGCTAGTGGCATGACGCGAGACTGAGTACAGCATGAGCTAGACGGCTAAGTCTAAATCGAACCCCAAGCCGGATGTGCAAGCGTGCCGCATCAAGATTCTCTGTGTCCATGTCTTCGTTCTGTTCGGCCTCGACCTTCTCTTCAAGGGCTCGGGCCCCTTCTTCGTCGCCAGCATCAATGAGGGTCTGCTTCTCCTCTTGGATCTTCTGCTTGGCTTCCTCCAGTCGCTGCTCCTTGAAGGCCCGCCTCTTCGCGGGATCCTTGAAATCTGCCTGAGCCTTCCTCCAGTCCTGCACTGCCTTTGACCATGCAGACCATGCCTGCCTGAAGTCAGTTCCTGGAGCTATGTCTTCCGCGCGCTGCGTTTGCTTCTTCTCCATTATCCAGGCCTTTAGCAACTCGGAACAGCTGGACTCGTTCCCCCAGGCATAGGCCACCTCATCAAAGCCCTCCGACTTGAGAGGTAGAGCAAAGCTGGCATACGATTTAGCAAGTTCCTTTTCTGTCATGTCCGGCAGCGGGGGCTTCCGGCACTTCAACGCCTTCTCCTCGTCTGTTAGCTCGACTGGGACATCCGGCTCCTCTTCCGGAGCCTCGTCCTCTGGCTCTTCAGCCGGAGCCTCTTCCGGTTCCTCGGTCTCCTCGACCTCCTCCCCGAGGCGCCGACGCTTGGCGGCCTCGTAGCTCTTTCGGGCAGCCTCGGCTTTCCGCTTCCTTTCCTCCTGCTGCCGCTTCTGTTGCCGTTGGCGCTCAGCCTCTGCTTGCTTTTTCTTCTTCTCTGCCTCTGCTTGAGCCTGCTTCTCCTCCAGCATTAGCTTCTGGATCCACTCCTTGTACTGCTGATCAGGCTCCCCCATGATAACGACAGCCTTGCGGTGAAAGTCTGCGGACGTGAATCGCATAAGGCCCTCGTCACGCTCGGACTTAACAAGGTTTGCCTTCATCTCTGGGATGACGTACTTCCGCGGGAACGTGGGTGCTACTGCTGAAATGATTCGGCCGACGCTCCAGTCGTCGATTGCTGGCACACCAGTGCTTGCCTCTGGCTTGTCGCCAGATCCATTGTAGTATTTCCCAGCCTTCCAGATTCCGCTCTTCCAGGCCCAGTCCTTATCGAGCTGGAGCTATTATTTGTAGATAAACAGAGTGGAAGCAGGGGAGGTTGACGAAAGTGTGGCGAGTGCGGCAAGGAAAAGCGAGAGAGAGAGAGAGTGAGCAAAAAAGAGAGGGAGAGAGAGAGAGAGAGCCGGAGAGACAGAGCGAGCGAGTGAGCGAGCGTGCGAGGCCGAAAAGGCTGCAATGTAGATAATGATGGATCATGCTACTTCATGAAATGCTTGCGCAGGAGCCAACATCTTCCGGTCGCTGAGCTCCACAAAGTCCGGGTTGTCGACGAGAAACTTGTCAACCCAGTCAAAATAGCCGGTGTCAGGCAGTCCCACAGGCATCACTAGCTCACCCTTGCCGTCCTTCCTCTTCGCTACAGATGGGATCTCGAGATCTTCTGCTGCAGCGTGGGCAAGCATGTTGCAGGTGAACGGCAGGGAAGTGCGCGGAGCTGGTCCAAAATTCACCTCCAAGGACCTTAGAAATGCGGTCCCTCGCTCGCCATCTCCTTGCCTCGCTGGCATCCCACCGAACCAGCCTATGAAGTCACCCGCTTGAAACTGCAATGCCTTACGAGTAGGAACGACTATCAGCAAACATCATCACATCTTAACCCCGTGATCCCTCCGGAAGCATCGCAGAGAAACTGGCTGCGCATATTCATCGCAAAGGTGCACATTCTTGTAAGTCACCGTCGGGTACAGGGGCTTGCCGATAAGAGCTTCTGGCAGCGGCTGTGGGTCAGAAGCACGCTGGCCATTGATGAAGAGACTCACCTCAGATGCAAACTGCACCTACTCAGAACTCCAAAGACCGGCAGCTAACATGCAGTGCCTGGCTAGAAAATACAAGTTACCGTGTTGACATTCGCCATAGAGGGGTCTAGATTCAGGACGACGGCCACAGTTTGATCTCTGACGAACTTGTAGGAAGCTCTTTTTCTGGCTTTGTCGTCCACAAAGAAGCCTTCGGAGTCGAAGGAGCAGTTGTTTTCTCCGTCGCCGAGGAACAAGGAGCCTCCTTTCAACGAGAAGCCCACTCGGACCAGCTGGCGCGGGTTCGGGACTCGGGCGTGCCCTGTTGTCTCGCATGGGCTCAGCGACTCCAAAATCCTGACCTCGTACATGTAACGACCGGACTTAATGCCGGCACTGCAACGTGCGGACGCGAGCAGGTACTGCATCCCCCCTTCGGTGAGCGGCATGAGCACTTTGCCACCGCAGACAGGCATCGCATTCAGCGTCACATCATCAAGGTTGAGAGCCACAGTACCTCGCAGGACCAAGGCCGCACGGTCCACCGCCACATTGTGCTTAAGTGACTTAAGTGCATTATTAGATCTCATACTAAATATACGGATGTGGAGGAAAAGCGGCCTGCGCTCACTTTTGCCCTGCTGTCTTTAGGCGCATCTTCTTCACGCTCCTTATCCTTATCTTCCATCTTGGCATCCTGCCAAGAAAAGGGCTTGTCAGTTGGCATTGACCCAAATCTTAGATTGTACAAATTGCACATTGCATGGTCGGCCCTGCCACCATTTGTCCTCAGTCCTCCTGGAGTGTCTCTTCTGCGGCGTCCTGTCTTGGATCCTCTGCTTCGCTTTCTTGCTTGGGCTGTGTCTCCTGGAGAGCATGACTCTGCTGCATGGTTACCTAGACGCGCCCTGGCGAACAGAAGCTGCCCCCAGGAGCCTCCTTAGGATTTTCTTCCTTGAGCTCCTCTTTCAATGCTTCTTCTTCCTTCATTTCCTTCTCTTCTTTTGGAGGCTCGTCGGCCTGAGGGGCTGCCGCGCCTTTCGCCTCAGCATGGATTCAACAGCACAAGAGTATTCCATGTTCTACCCGCATGCTGACACCGCCTTGGCTTTCGGCTGCTTTGCCTCCGCTTTGGCCTCTTTGGCACCCGAAACAGCAAAGGCAAACGAAGTGACTTGCAGGCCTTTTTTGGGGCCATGGCCGCAGAGGCTTCGAGGCCGCCCCGGACCCCGATAAGAACTGGCTCAATGCTGCGGGCCGTCCCGTGGATTTTCCAGGATTGCAGCTGCCCTACAGTACATCTGGCCCGGTGGCTTAACACTGCGTTCCTGTTCTCGCGTGTGGATATGCACGCAACACACAGTTACAAACTGGACGCTCAACACGACAGCCTGGTCCTAAACTTGAAGAACCCCTTTGCGACAGAATGGCCAAGGGGGTCGGGCCGGAAATTTTCGTCCAGCAGCTTGTCTGCTTCATCGAGGACGAGGAACCGCCTCAATCTCTCGTCTCATGCGTCGCAGCTGGCGGTGCTGACACTGCCAAGGAACCGACGCGTCTGTGAGGAGAAGGCCATCGCGCAAGAGCTTGAACATGCGACCAGGCGTTCCGACCTGGAAGGGACGGTCAGGACAACTTCTTGCCGAACAAGACAAAATCCAAGATTTCGAACGAAGAAACGAGAGCCTCTCTCGAAGAAGTTCAGAGTCTTGGCCCACGGCTGCGATGTGGGGTGCTCCCTTGGACTGAAGCCTCTCCTGCCAGCCAGCCCTCAATCCCTCTTCGGCTTCAAGCGCAGAGATCACCTCATCTTCTTCCACTGGGATGCCACCGATGAAGCAGGCAACCTCGCGATCTCGGACCGAAAGAGCCGGAAGAGCCTAGAGACTCGACGGTTGAGATGCGAGCATCAAGGACTGGCACGATGTACCTGACTCCAAGACGTGCGCAAGGCCTATAGGGGCCTAGAATGGCCGAACGGTGCAAAACGCCCGAGGTGCAGTCCAGCCAAGTCTTCGCAGCTCGTCGGAGATCTGCACTACGATGCAAAGCCCACAGTCGACTTTCGGGTTTCGATCGCTGTGAATGAAGATGCCTGCATGGCAATCTCGCGCGTTGGCGCCAGGATGATGGCCTGCGACGAAGCAATGATCCCCATCTCGCGCCCTGGAGCCTTCTCACCGAGGCTCTTTCAGGCCCAGACCACTGCAGTTTTTCACAACTGAAGAACATCACGAACAACAGATGACGACTACTTGTTCCGAGAGATCAGCAACAAGCAATCCGTGCAGGTACTGTACTGTCCGGGCCGCTCTCGTACCTCGCATCTCAAATCACAGGCCATGCAATAACTTGTGAGAGGTACATTACAAATGCAAGTCCTGTAATCATCTGCTACGACCAGCGTATTATAACCATCACCGTGACGATGTCGTGCCGTAGCATGACAGGGGCAATTGCGAATAGAGCCACCACCAGGAGCCCTACGGCGACTGCGACTGCTTTCGAATATTAAGGTTCGCGACGACTAAAGATGACTAAAGTGTCGAAAGGCGACATGAAGCCGACAAAACAACAAGGGGAGATGAAAAGCAGGAATTTGTGGAGCACGTTTCACGATGGGGCGGCTTATGGATATCACCAAACTTTGACCTCCTGATACAATCCTACTTGTAGCAGTCCTAGCCCGCGACAAAGGTCTCTCTGCATTGGCAAAGCTGGCAGTCCTGCGATGTTCCCGAGCTGGATGTGTTCACACCTTCATCAAAGCAGTGTTAGATGAAAGGATTCGTGATTGCTAGAGCGTCCTTCCAGCACCACAGAGCAGAAGGCAATTGTCTTGCCTGGCAAGGGTGCAGGTCGTCATGCTATTCAGCGACTTCCACTCCGCACCTTGCCTGTTCCAGACTTAGCCTGCACGATGACATCTCCTCCGCCAAGCGCCTGTGGAATGGTTCGTAGTTGCACCTGAACCCATGTGAAGCCATGAAGGAGTGAAGCAAACGTCGCCACCAACTTGCTGGGCCACAGGTGAGGGATGCTCACAGCCCATCTCTTGCAGGCTTCGCCTCGCTGAGACTTGAGTTCATCCGTGCCATCCGTGCCCCCAAAATTTACCGAGAACGGGACAGCAAGGGTGCTGACAAGGACAGCTCTGCAAAGGTGCATCGCCTATCTTAGGGCAACGACCAGCCATGACTGCACCACGGTCCGCGCTCGGCTTCTGACTGTGTCTCGGAGTCAACGACATCACTCGTCTTGAAGCGAGGCATATTCTGCAGTGTTGCGCATAAGTCAAACGCCAACCTCTACTTGTCACCGGCTAGTGGGCTAGTTCGGTCACATACAATCAGTCCAAGTTACAGCTGGCAGATGAACTTGACAAGCGCTAGCCTGAAAAAGGCAAACAAAGTCCAGTGGCAGCATCGCGTTCTGAATGCTGTAATGACGGAACCGTTTCGGATTTCAGCTGCCGAGCCATGACGGCCAAGCGCGAGGCACGGATCGAAACTCATTCGCCTAGCCGTGGGCCGAGACAACACAAGCCAGACCACGAGGAGTATATGTTCCGCTCGAGCTTTGCAAGCAGCTGCTTGTGCGGAATTCAGGCTGGCAGCTTTGACCAGACATAAATTGAGGAATCACATGAAGTCACTCACATTCTATCAGTCAGCTATAGGCAGCTGCCGAGACTATGCAACAGGTTATCATCTTTCTCAAGCCAGCTTGTTTTCAAGTGAATCCTTGTGGCCGGTGCCCGAGTAGAGCTCTGGCGGCACATTAAAAGAGCAACTGGATGCAGGACCCGTCGTGTCTTTGTCGAACAGGTCCGCTGGCAAATCGAGTCCATCACGGTCGTTCATCAATCCGCCTTGCTCCACGCACAGTCTTCGTTCCTTCGTGAGAAGTCCCCGGATGCCACTCCTACTGCTACTGCCGGGAGCCTCGATCCATGTTTTTGGATTCGCGGCCCAGCATGGTTGGAGAGTATTTTGGGAGCAGCCTTCAACCTTCGGCTGTGCTGCCATGCACTGACTAATTCGCGTTGGGTGTGGGTTGGAATCGGTCGTAGATCTCGATCCCTGGCATGACAATCTGGAGGATCAGGTAGACGCAAGCCTGACACAGGGGAAAAGGGCCGCGCAGGTCCGCAGGGCAGTTTTGCGTTCGCTCTTCTGAAGCTGCCAAGGCTCGAGGATCACAAGAATACTCAGGAAGCAGAAGATGATGATCATAGTCCTTGCCATTGCACAATTTCTAGCCCTCCGCCTGTTCGTTTTGCTTGGCAATACAGCAAACCACCAGCTGCGGGGTAGTTCGTCCCATCACAAGTCATGCACATGGCAAGGGAAGATTCCGGATCCTTTTGATAAAGAAATAGTTCGTCGGCCCCAAGTAGTTGTATATGAACCTCAGGCCAAAGGCAGAGCTCATCGACCCGTCGTGCTTCCCTTATCGGCAGCCGTCCGGAATCGCACCTGAGGTGCCCGCCCGAGGGGGTTCGTGACAGCTTGGAATGTGCCCATGCGATCTTCCGGAGGGCTGACCTGGCAGTCCTGCCCACGAAAGCTTCTGCCCACCCCAACAGACTTACTGTACCAAGCTTGAAGTTCAAGGCCTGAGAATACAAGGGACACCCTTTGTCAACTACGGCTGGACTCAGGATCGAAGGTGGTTCGGAGTCAGGATCGAGGCAGCATGTTTCTGGTGAAAGCGCAGGGTGCAGGGAGAATGCGGCTCGTATTTGGTACCGTCGGGGAGCGACTCGAATGTCAACACTAGAAGTGCAGCACATGCAGCAACGCTTCATAGGTCATAGGTTGCACACAAGAAAAAACGCCTGGTTGCATTTTGCGGCCCAGCCGCTGCTGGCTCATGCATGCTCATGCATCCCGTCACAACCCGTCCTTTTCCGACCACCAACTCAACTAAACCCTGAAGGCTGCGCTGCCTTGAGTCTGGCAACTGCAACCCCGGCGTTGCTTATCTTCCAGGCCTATGTTTCCACAAAAGTTAGCAGTGACCGCTTGCTTGCAAACTGCTCAAACTGTCAAAGAAATGTTCAAGCTTCCCCGTGACAGCCACTCCTTCTTAATCTCGTGGAGATCAGCCTCTTCTGCAGTCACAATCTGGACCTGGCCGCCAGAGGTCAACGTGAAGCTCCCAAGGCTCGCGTGTTTGACAGCTTCTACGCCGCAAAAGCTATCAAGATGGCAAGATGTGACTCCGGTAGGCTGCAATCTGCCAGTGTGGTCTTGAAATACTGCTGACAGCATTCCGAGCCTGCAGATTGAGGTACGCCGGTGTCACTTGCCGACGGTCCCGTCTGCTGCAACAGCAGCAACAGCAGGAGAAGCATCCCAAGAAGCTCCGGCAGCATGCCCGCAAGCGGTCGCAGCAGCGTTTGAGGCACCTTGACGAGGTGATGCAAGTCTCGCAGACAGAACGTGCCGATTTCCAGCCGCTCAAGCTTCGCTGCCCCGTTTTGCAGGTGCCTATCGCACGGTGCACATCTTGGATGACACGCAGGCGGAGGTTCCTTAGAGCCCATAACAGCCGCTTTAAAAGCGTTGAAGTCATTGTCAGTGTATTTCACTATTTCTGACTGACGGGGTCTGAGTACAATCGATTCGCGCAGCGCAAAGACCGGGCTGGAAAGACAGGGTTCGTGCATGTTCGTACATGCCGCAGGCGCACTCACCGGGGCGCTGGATTCCACTCACTGGGTTCTCTCCCTGCGGCAGCCTGTTCGCGCACGCACCGGCGAGGACAAGTTTCACGAAAGAGCCGCATTCCACACAGACCGCACCGATTCACGCCGGATTCATGTATTCTCCACAGTCGAGCGCGATCCATTCGTGCAGGGGGCGATTTACTCAGCCTTGTGATGCTCCCCACTTCCCTAAAATTCCAAACCCAAGCCCTTCACTAGCCGCAGCAGGCATCATACATAGACCCCATCCTTCACCATCCTTTGAGTAAGCAAGGGTCTGGTCTGATTCGGAAGTGGGTGGTTGCAGAAAGCCCCGACCCTAAAAGCACCAAAAAGACAATACAGCGCGATAGGGCGTAGAACGATGGCAAGCACAATATCTAAAAAGGAGTGAAGGGTGCAGAATCCCAAAAGCCTACGCGCAGTGAGTGGGTGTCAAAGCCCCATGGCCTGTTGCTGTTGCAGTCGCTGTTGCTGCTGCTGGTGCTGGTGCTGCTGTTGTTTTTGCTGCTGTTTATCGTCGTTGTTGTTCGTCTTGTACTGGATTGTGGTAACACTGGTAATATTCGTATATTAGCAGTGGTGCGAAAGAAAGGCAAACCAAGGTGGGGCATGGCATGGGGGATGTGGCCAGAACGACCCGCGCTCGCACAAGCGGAAGGGTATCCATTTCCGAACCCAACCCTAACCCAGCCTGCGGGGATCACAGGGGTGAGGGGAGAGCGGCCTGGCAACCATGTGTTGGTCCTTCATGCTGCGACTGCGATAGCTAGTTGTGGGAGTCGAGGAGGTCTTCTCATCAAGTGTGAATCGGTATTTACGGTTGGTTTATATTTGCTTGGTGTCAATGCAGTGTTGGCACAGTTGCCAGTTAGTCTTCGGATTTGTTTCAAAGAGCACAGTTGATGTTGACAATATTCGTGGTGTCACTGTTGTCGGTGACAATGACTAATTATTTACGTATCAATGAAGCTTTCTATCAATGTCCAACACCAACTGTACCGTTGCTGCTGCTACGGTGGAATGCAAATGATTTTCCCGAATGCGCAGCAGAAGTGTGCTCGTTTTGCAATTGGGTTCCAAAGGGCCGACGCCGAAAGGTGACAAGATGCCGCGCGTTTGAGTTTCCGAAGCGATCGCAAACTTCGGAAAGCGTTCGCAAAGCATTCGCGAAGCGTCCGCGAGATGCGTGCTGTCTCACGCACCCGCCGAACCTTCGGGGAAGGCCGCTGGGGAGGTGTCGCGAGCAGCATCGGACATCCTTGGGGCCGAGCCTCGGGGAAAGCCGTCAACAGTGGGGGAATTTTGGGGGCAGGAGCTTCGGGGAAAGTCGCTGGGAGGTGCCGCGGGCACACGTAAACACCAAAGCCATAAAAAAAAGAAAGATATATTGAGCAGTCTGCAAAGTCGATTCCGACTGTTCAGTGCTGATAAGGCATCATAACATTTGCTTTTTCCCCATGTAACGGCGGCTGACAAACACAATGGTTGACACACCGTGTCTGAAACTTTCTACCCAACAACGGGCTTGGAATCGACAATAAGTGCAGCACAACCGCGAACCACGTACCGGAGGTTGATCTGGCAATGTTGCCCAAAGAAACCCAAACACGAGCCATGCAACCAAAGCTCGTCAGAGGTCAACCACAAGCAATTCCGTTGGATGCGCCTGTCAAACCCCCCCTAGCGACACCAAGACCCTGACCACACGCATACAACTAGCAGTTCAGGTTTGCTTTTGCCGTACTGACACCTCCGTACTGACACCTTGTGAAATCTGCACACCAGCAGCAAACCATACCTGTCTCCCGCAAGGGTGAGATTTCATTTGGAAAAAAGCACCCAAGGAGAACCAAACGCAAACGCAACCGAAAACGTGCCGACAAGATATCAGCATGAGGCTTGTTGGGCTAGGTTTCGGTGTGCGCCATGCGGATTTCAAGCACGCAGAGCCATTAAAAGTACACCCACGGCGGCCGATCAAGGGGTTTTAGGTTAAAGGAAGGCCCGACATCTAGACAACAACGGGAGAGTCTAGACCGGCGAGCTCTCCTACTCGGCCCTAGTCCAGCTTCCTGCGGTTCTAGGCTTAACCGCTGCCACCGCACGCAGGCTTCAAGGCTAGCACATGCACCGTCAACATCGCATTCATGGTGCCATCATCATCTTCACCATGGGCATCAGCATCGTCATCGTCATCAAACAAATCCAACCCCTGCGGATCCGATATCATCGAATATCTCACCCCTTCGCGATAGGCTATGCTCCTCGAGTTGACCACGTCTTTGGACGATCCTTGTATTGCGCTCCGCGCCCTTGTGTGTGCCGACCAACATCTCGAAAACACGTCATGCACTGGTTCGATAGACACGATATCTTCTGGATACCACATAAAATGACGATGTTGGCGGTATCCATAGATCTTCACAATAACGTGATGCGGGGGTGAGAATGACGATGTTGGCGGTATCCATAGATCTTCGCAATAACGTGACGCAGGGGTGAGGACGCTGATTCGATACACGCGACATTTCCGGTTTATAGATACCACATAAAATTACGATGTTAACGGTATCCGTAGAGCTTCGTGGTAAACATGATGCGTCTACATTCGAGTTCGTCCTATCAGGTTTTAGTCTAGTTACTGTTGATATAGATGGTGTCACTGCAGTTGTTGGACAGTTCGGGGGTGGTGTTGGGTAGCAATGGTGTCGATTGTGTGGAGTTGTGCAGTTATTGGCACAGCCTGAAAACATCTGCACGAAGGCGTGCGCGGGCATTACACAATGATCTGAGCTCCATGAGTAGGAAGTGCCATCGAGAAACAGATGTAGTACAGGCATGTACAGGCTGTATCCACAACACGGGTGAGAGAAAGACAGCGAGGCAGGAGGGAGGGAGGGAGGGAGGGGAAGTTTTTCCTCATTGCACAACACGTTGAATTCGCACTGCCGTCCTCCCTGGCCCTCTCCCCTAAGGTCTATGCCAGTTCAAGGGCTCGCTGCCCTGACTCAGCGTCAAAAATCACCTCGTCGTTTTGCAACGAGGAGAGAAGGATAGATAAGGGTAAAGGTTGACCCACCTGTTTCCTGACAGGACCCGGAAGATCTCCACCTTCTGATTTCATCTCGTGCCTCAGCTCAACAAAGAGACCCATCTGAATACCCGCGACGAAGCACGATTGAGATGCATACGCATACATGACTAAGTAATCCAATGGCAGTTCCTGGATCCGCAACAGCCAGGTCTGATCTGCAGTGCTTTTTCAACTGCCTCAAGCAGAAAACCATCCTGCCTTGGGAGCATACATAAGGTCTGCCTCCGTCAAGGTGTCCTGCCCGGGCATGCCAGACCCAAGCAACGCGGCAAATGTGGCGGCATACCAACGCGTGGATGGGGCTCTATTGAAGGCTGAAAAGAGTCCTCGTCAACCAAGCTCAGAATGATATAGCAGTACTGCAATGGGGCCGTAACCCTGAAGGCCTCGGTCGAAACGTCTGCAGCAAACCAAATGCTTGCAGCGCCAATCAGGCCCATTAGATCATTAGGCCACGTGCCCACTGCCAGTTAAAGGATGCCGTGTACCTGGCCTGAGTCGTTGCTTCGTACTGCACGCGTTTCTGCATCCGCACCGCAAGGGCCGAACGTACTTATGGACGTCCGTCTGGAGCTTCAGAGAAACGGGTTCTTGGCCTGCAAACTCGTCAACTAAAAAAGCTCTGGCTTGCAGTAGCACAAAGAGGTGTACTTCAACCATTGACCATATTGACCTGTGGGTGCGAACGGACTCCATGATGCGTGTCGCCGTTCTGCATCGGCTTCTTACTTCCAATGCGAGGTCTGGAAAGTTTATGCCAGCAGACTAGGCCGCGGGGTGCGAAAAATCCATGCTTTCGCTCCGTTTGATAAACCATTGCCGGAGGTCTGCCTGACCGGGACACGCACATACACTCACACCCACACCCACGCCCACCCCCACACCCACCCCCACACCCACTCAACACAAACACACACACACACACACACACACACCCACACCCACACCCACCCCCACACCCACTCAAACACAAACACACACACACACACACACCCACTCAAACACAAACACACACACACACACAAAACAAAAAACACCCACACCCACACCTACACCCACACCCACTCAAACACAAACACACACACACACACACACACACACCCACCCTCGCACGCACGTGCACGCACGCACGCACGCACGCAGGCACGCAGGCACGCAGGCACGCAGGCACGCAGGCACGCAGGCACGCACGCACTCACGCACTCACGCACTCACGCGCGCACGCACGCACGCACGCACGCACGCACGCACGCACACACACACACACACACACACACACACTCACACTCACAGGGTGCACTCACTCCCCACCCGGCCATGCACCTTTCTCGAGCGCACCATGCTCAACGTTACGAGCTCATGAGTACGAACTCATTTCTGTTTTTCACTACGGGTGGTTTAGAGGGCGCCCTGCTTTGGAGGCTTACTGACAACCCTCATCCATCTGCCACTCCTGATCTCCTGTTAAAAATACGGTCCAAAAGAGCGATAAGGTGAGAGCCTTGTCCGAAAGCAAATGGTCAATGTGGCTGGTTGTTTGTTGATGCAGGATTCCTCCCAGTGGACTTTGGGGTGTCCCGCTGTGATTGGCCGCTCTGATGTCTGTATCCGTTCGAGGTCATCAAGGTGCTATTTTGTTCCGCTGAATCTGGGTGTCGGTGGTGGTCTGGGCTGGAGGCAGTTGTGAGTAACATCTTAACCATTTTGGAAAGGCATGGCATGCTGCTGGTGAGGCAAGACACGAGTTGGAGCATGACCTCCGTGATAACCAGAGGATTTGATGTTGAAGCTGCGAGGCAATGGCTTTCCGCCAAGAGCATCCAGGCGCGGGGCAAGCACAAGCACAAAATCTACACACTGTAAGCTTCCGACAAGGCGGCAGAGAATAGTCCGAGGTACTTTATTTTGCTGAATCAATCATCTGCATAATTCAAGATTCTTCAAGATCGGGGCACCTATTGCACCTTATAACGAACCAGCTTCGGGGCGTGTACCAAGCAGAAAGTGTTTGGCTTTCGGCATGCTGCTTCCAGCCAAAAGCCAGCTCTGCAAACGTTTGTGCCAGCTGTCCCCAACGAGCACGGATTGCTTGGGGACTTCCAGGGCACATCTATCACTTCGAGCCTTGAGACTTCATGTTCACGTAGGCCAGCACCCGAACATCATTCCCTGGAGAGAGCCGAGAACTAGCAAGCGTTTCATGCTGTCTGGGACATGTGATGACAAGCCGAGATGCTCTCGCCAAAGTCCTGCATTGATGGCCGAGACAACCGTTGCCGTCTTGTAGTGATGGCAGCTGGTCAACACATGGCATTCGAGTCCTTGAACTGAGTGATGTTTGTCACATTCTTCACGAGCATACCTCAAAGCTGAAGTTCAGAACACACAACTTTGCAAACTTGAACAGTCTCCAGCAGACCGCAGGGTCTACTGATCTCATGCTCTCGGTAGCTGAGAGTCCCACGAATCTCATATTCTGCCTGTTCTGTACTGCTTTGGAACACTGCTGACACTCAAAATCTGTGATCTTCAGGGGTGTGCGAGGAAAGAAGCCGGTGAGGAACAGAGAGATGCCACTGAAGCATCTGGCCTGCGGCACGTGCCTGAAGTCCACCTGCGATAGAAAGCTGAGAAGCAAAGTGCCGGCGTGCGACGACAAACAAAAGTTGCAGGGACGGGATTGGGGCCGGCCGCGACAGATCGTCTTTCGGATTACAGAACCGGGCTGATGGTATGTCCCTGCCTGCGGCGGCGGATGCTGTGCAGGTGCCATGTCCACCTTATCGAAGGTCTGATAAACAGGACACCTCCTCCAGATCTAGGCATGGCGCGCTAGTGCAACAGCTGCCCGTCAAGCGCTAAAGCAAACAAAGGCCAGGGCCCAGCAGCGCAAGCTCCCTACTCGCCTTCAGGACACGAAGCTGACGCAGACTCGTGCTGGTGGAACTGACTGCATCTGGTCCTTCCTCCTGCGAGGCCCGATAAAACCCTGCGATTGATGGAAGCAGGGTTGACAAACCGTCCAAACTATCAACCACCAACAGAAGAGGAGTCAAACCACCTCCACCTCGGCAAGAACGGCAATTGAAAAAGATCGAAACTAGCAAAGCGATCAACGTGTCATCCAAATCATAGGAGATGCGAGAAAGCCTGCAACAACGAAACCGCCACCGCAAGTGAGATGCTCCCTTCATTCTGACAAACTGCCTGTTTTCCTGATGCTTCTTCGTGGAGAAGAGATCGGTCGTCCTCACAGAGCGTGCAGGCCCCAGGCCCGCGGAAGAGTTGCAAAAAGCGTGCCAGGTCCCCGGCTCTATGGGCTCGAGTTGACTTGGCGCTAAGGCCGGCTGGATCTTGTCAGAATCGCGAGGAGATTCCTTCCCACCTGTCAGTTCACATCAGTGGATGGGACAGTGCTCTGCTGTGTTCGTCACAAGGCAGACTGGCTGTAGTGGACATTCCGGAAAAACACTACTTCACCATGATAAAATCCGCACAGCGCATTGTGAGGCCAGTTAGAGTGAGCCACCGTCTCCGTGGAGTAAAGCATTCGCACTCCAAGTACGTTTGAAGTCCAAACGTACACTCTGAGCATCATCGGGATTGTGCATGCTGCAGTCCTGTGCTCTTGTTCCAATATCTCACATCTTGGCTGCAGCAATCTTGCAGATCATCATGCAACGTGCGTCTGCGCCTGCTGATGGTCGAGGTTTAGCCCCCTTTTTGTCGGGATCAGGCTCGACCTTCGCATCGCTGTCAGAGGCTCGCGGAGAGCAACAGCAACCGAGCCCGAGCTCAGCACAGGTTCCAAAGGTGACAAGTTCTCATCGATCCACTTCTTGTTCATGACCTCGCAACACAAGCCCCGCTTGTGCGACGTCTACGACGATACAAGCACTGGCTTACAGGCCTCACGCATGTTTCTGGCTTGAAGTGCAAGCCACCTGTCCTGCCAATTTTGCATACTCCGTTATGCGTTCTGCAAGTAGCAAACATTCAAGCCACGACAGGAAAGGAACGCAAGCGTCGCTTCAACTTTGATCACTGTACCGATTACCTCACGAAACACGAGCGTCTGACAGGCCCGCCACTCACCAGCGCGTCTTTCCTATGCCAACCATGTCGGCTTGATTGCTGTCCCCAGTTTCCACCCGGCCTCGTTGCCAAGACGTTGCAGCCCGTGGGAGGTTGCAGGGTTTGCTGCTGTTCAGCCCCGCTTTACCCAGACCGTCCACAGCGCCCCGCCCCCCAGTGGCACCCGCTCAGCGAGCTGAGAAATGACGGCGAAATGGAACGCTAATGATGCATGTGATGGTGCCGATCTGGCCTTCCCCCCAACTCCTGGCCCTCAACGGGTTCATTCGCAAGGCTCACCGCTTGGCTTGATGTCTGTTATCGCTGGAACGGTCTGCGCATGTGGTTTCCGCTTTCATCTGCAGGTTTGGAACTCGCTGTCCGGGGCCTAGCTGAAGAAGTCTCCTATTATGAATATAAATTTTAGCCTGAGGGCTGGGAGGCCGAAATAGCCCGCAAACGCCAAAATTGGACCGCAGAGAATAACCCGCACATCAGAGGCAAGCAAAAATGTACCGCAGAAAATGACCCGACAAATAAATGCACCTCGGAAAATGGTGCATTCCTCTGCAGGTTCATGTCTTGCAGTTCAATTATGAGTCCTTTTTATGTCTAGCGCAACCTTTAAACCTTAGGATGCCTTAGGCACACGTTTTACATAATCCAAGCATGACGCTTCACTCGATCATCAGCCAACAAGCACCCAGGGTCATGCTGCACAGAGAACGCAGCACCATCTCATTTTGCCTCAACGACATCACATTAACAGCATGCCATTTCAACATGCAACGGCAGCGGCACTCGCATCTGCGTGCATCACCCACGCCAAATCATCAAAGAGAACTTTACGACATCATGAACCGACCATCAACAGGCATCGCATCATTCAACAGTGTGAGCTTCATTGTGCCACGACCAGTGGTTGCGACTCGTCACGCCAGAGCATCATCAGTTACCGCCGTCACCTGCCTTGCCATAGCACGGTTCATCACCTTGACTAGGGAGTTCTTTCCCAGCATCCCCATGATTGGACCTCCATATGACCTGAGGAGCCCCATACACACTGAGCAAAAACCCTAACATAAACCCTCCCTTAGAATATATCAGCACAATACCCGTCATCGGGCCACCGCATTTCACCGTTGGGCATTCTCTCCGAGTATCTGCGTCCATAGTCCATGGTCCATGACTGTTGCGAAACAGTAAAGTAGGTTTGGATGCTCTTGCACAGCCACTACAGAACTATGCATGAAGTGCAATTTAGCCGGAGAGGCAAGCTTCCATGGAAGAGGGCTTCCAGTGCAAAGTACTGTCTTGCATGCAAAGAAAATCAAGGACACACAAGTTCGAATCTCAACAACGGTAAGGGCCTCCCGAAAACACCGAAATTGTCTGAACCCAAGTCAGCGACCAGCAAAACAAAAGCCAAAGTCCTCAATGTCGATCAATGCTCTGCCCAGCATCACCTCCTGACGCAAGACAAACTGCAGACGCATGCACAGAACACTATGTGATCATGTTGCCAACTGGAGAAAGGGCAAACATTACGTGCTGCCGCCACTCATCCAAGAACCGTTGTGAAATGTGGACTTCGCAATGGGGAATGACGTGGGTTGTGGAAACGATATGAGAGCTGTGTCTTTTGAGCTGTGGAACGTGTAATATGAAACCTGGACGGCGCACTTGTGCTTTGGGGCACTCTGTCAACACTGCAGCAAATTGTGCGCTCTTACAGCATGCGTCGTATGCTTGTTCTTCATGACACGGGAGTTCTCAACGAGAAAAGCTCATTAAATTCATTAAACGAAGAACAACTGTCCTGTTTGGGATTCAGACACGAGGGACCTTTCTGGAAGGGCACCCGCTGCAGAAATAGGTAGATCGTCGCGTGGTAGGGGTGCATACATAGACATACATATCTTACATACACACATACATACATACACACATACAGACATACATGCATACGTACATACATACATATATGTGCATGTATACATGCATATATACATATACATATACATATACATATACATATACATATACATATACATGTACATGTACATGTACATATACATATACATATACATATACATATACATATACATATACATATACATATACATATACATATACATATACGTATACGTATACGTATACATATACATATACATATACATATACATATACATATACATATACATATACATATACATATACATATATATATATATATATATACATACCTGACATGAACCTTTAGGTATAATGTGATCGGTTGGTTGTTGTTATATATGTATACATACATACATACATACATACATACATACATACATAAACACATACATACATACATATATATATGTATATTGGAGTTTGTATTTGCATGTACATTTACGTGCATTATGATACTTATACAAGCATCATGCCACAACTGCACCAAATCAAGCAGGTCCAGCCGTAACCCTCCGTGCCTCCCCGACTCGGACGTGGAGCCTGAAAGTCTTTTCACATAACCCTACACCTCGAGATCCAGCAGTGGTTGATCAAACAAAACACAAATTCACACAAGGGCCGGGGCCTAAGTGCTTGGACGGATCACCAACACTAACGCGTCATAAAAAATTTAAAGCGTACTTAAGTGAGCAGAATATGAACACGGTAACGATGAACAAACAATGACCAGTAGCATCACAGCAAACAGGACAGTAGTAGGAATGTTCACCATAATGTAGCGCAAATAACCTTGATACTACTGGGTGTATTTCGCGCGTGTGTACCTTTTTCATCTTGCTAGCTCTAACATCAACTCTCCACCCCCAGTCCGCATATAAGTCCGAGGGTCAACAACAACAACAGCAACAACGACAATAGTAACAACCGCAGCAACACATGATGAAGATTGCATAGACGAAGATGAGACGAGAGCTTCAATAACAGCAAACGTCAAGACAACAACAACAACAAGAACAACAACAACAACAACAACAACAACAACAACAACAACAACAACAACAACAACAACAACAACAACAACAACAACAACAACAACAACAACAACAACAACATTTCATTCACACGCAGCGGGAAAGAGGCGTCCATGGTGAAACTGATTTCCTCGCTCGGCGCGTGTTCGACCTGTTAGCTCTACAGAAACATCTATGCGCGGTGATTCAGAGCTCACTCGCGCTGCAGGCCGTGCCGTGGCGCTGCACCTGCATGCGTTCCGCCCCTCAGGGCTGCAAACTACGCAGTGTTACTTCCGACAGGGAGCATAAGCTGCTTCGGCAATTGGTGCGATCGCCTGAGCTTGCATTCGTCAATGCATGGCTTTCCTTGAGCTGAGAGGGATCCGACCTTCCGGTTGAGCGGGCGAGCGGGAGCACGACACTGTGCTGAGCCACTGATCTAATTACTGCTTGCTCCTGTGGTGCTAAGGCTGAATCCGCAAGCACGATTGTGTAAGGACAGATATCAGATAGGCTTGGATGGGGGTCCATTGAGCTTCCTGCCTCTCAGTCTGCGACCTCGGCTGGGCTGTTTTTATGGCAGCTCTTAGACCTTTATGCAGCAGCAACAACAACAACAACAACAGCGACAGCAACAGCAACAGCAACAGCAACAGTGACAACAACAGCAATAGCAATAGCATTTCATTCACACGCAGCGGGGGAGGACTGTCTGTGGTGAAACTTTTCGTCCACGCTTTGCGAGGGATCGACCTAGTGCCCTGCTTACTACTTGCGCGGTCACTCTTCACGGCAAGCCGTGCCTCAACACTGCACTTGCGCACGCTCCGCCCCTCAAGGCTGCAAGCTGTGAAGTGGGAAGTGAATGTGTCTTCAGAGTCTTATGCGAGTTACGATTTCGGCACTTGCTGAAAGCTAACCGGCTTGGTTGCAATGTATCACTGGCTGATTGGCAGCAGATCATTTTGCACTCAGCTGCTGGGGAGAGACTCCACCAGCTGTACACACATGGCAAGGGGAGAAACTCCTCCGATTGTTGGGGAGAGTCTCCTCCTAAGGGAGCATCTCCGCAAGGCGTCTAGCTCAGGAAGAGGCTGCCATGAGACGATCTTGTCCCTGCTGAGTGTTGCCACTGTTCCCATTTTGGTTTCTGGCTGCTCCATTCCCTCGGCCTCCGCTTCCTCGTCCCCTGCTTTTGCCCCCTCGCTGTTGTCCTCTGCCTCGTTGCTGGGGAGTACCTCCACCACGCTGTCGCTTCAGGGGAGAATCTCCACCTGACGGACCTGCGTCTCCCCGTTTGGGGGCAGAGCTCTCATCCATCGATGCTCGCTGGAAGAACTCTTGCAGAGACATTACTCGGGAGATTGGCTACGTCCTAGGGCTCGTGAGAGACGGCGCTGCGAGCTAGGAAGATGACGTAGCTATTTTCTTGAAGCAGGGATCTTCGAGGGTACAGGGACTAGGGGGGTGGGAGTCATCACCAACATACCAGGCATCTGCTGCGCGTACAGCTGCACGGTAATGGCCACTAGTGGACTCCATTCCTAGGTGAATGATCACTGCCTCTACTGTGTAGGTACAGAACGAAACTCGGGATGTGTGGTCCAGGAAGACAGGGATCTGGACTTGCTGTGGGATTGTGATGCGAGTGTGATCCTTAGCTTCACCTGCGAATCTCGGCAAGGCTAAGCACACCTGCTGTGCATCTTCTATGAGAGCACATGAGCGCTCCTGAGACGACCATGCCACTAGCATGTCCTGTAGGTTGGTCTTGATCGCCGTGGCAAGATGAATGGGAGAGCCCCCTTCTTCGTCCACTATCACTCCTTCCGGTACTGAGGCTCTTGTTTCCCACTGTCCAAATCTTGATGCAGAGAGATTCCGAAACACTTGCTGCAGGAACTCTGCAGAGTCGTGCTGGCCTCCGTCAAAGAGCCAGCCCATGGTGATCTCCGAGAAGACTCTGTGTTCAGGGGTTATTCTCGCAAGCTGACTGATCCGGGATGCCTCTTGGAAAGTCGCCTCTGAAGGATCTGATAGCCAGTGGAGACACTGCAGACCTGAGTTGGCGTAGCAATGGTTACGAGTGTTGGCTAGCAGGAGAAATCCTTCTAGTCTAAACACGGGGTGAGGAATTCCTGGCGTTGAATCTGAAGGTTTCTTTGTGACTGTCTTCGCCGATGCCGTGGACTTTGCTCGAGTATATTCGCGGGGCTGCTTGCTGAGCTGCTGGCGCACCACCTCCTGCAGTACGTGCGCCTGCAGTAGTGGAACGCACTGCTGAGCATGTCTTCCCGGGGCATCCACACGAAGTTTGCAGTATCGACAGCTATCTCCTTTGTGAAAGAAGACCTTGAATTGATTGAGTCTTGGTTGGAGAGTTTTCTCCAGCTTGGCCATCACCTCAGGATGCTGCTTGTTTAAATGCTGTTTGGCTCCTTTCTGGCCTACGAGGACCTGACCGCAGAGTGCGCAGTGTTCCATCAGGTAATCATGGAACGCCGGATTTCGAGCGGCGCCTTCTGGATTGTCCTGGGCATCAGACTGTAGACTTTCTACGAGTGAGATCCGGTTCTGTGCTTCTAAGGGTCGCTCTTCCTGCTGTCTAAGCAAAAGCTCTACCCTAGGGCAGGTAGATGCTTCGACATGTTTGCGCAGATAAAACACTGTTCGGAATGTTGCTCGACAGGCGATGCAAGTTGCTGACCCTGGCATTGAATGCAAAATAGGATCAAATTTGGGTCCTTTCAGGCACTGCTGAGAATCTGGGTGAGCCTTCTGCAGGTGGCGACGGAGTGCTCCGGTGCCAGAGAGACATGCTCCACATTCACCGCAGGTCAGAAGCCTATCCTCCACATGGTGCGAGGAGAAGTCCGTGGAGAGGCCTTCCAATGCCTGGCTAACTGCCTCAGCACGCACCTTATAGTGTGGGAGAAGCTGGGGATCGGAGTGTTGCTGTCTCTTTATAAACTGGGTCATTCTCTTTTGCAGCTGCTCCTTCACGTGAGGAATCCGTAATCTCCGGAGTAACTCCTGGTTTGATTCCTTCGTTTCCTGTGAGTAACTCCGCAGGACGAATCTGAGTTGGTACATCATGTGTGAATGGAGCTTTTGCAATCCCTGCTGTGTCATCCCCACCACGTGGAGTGCATACAGAGCAGAGGCCCGCGCAGTTATTGTCCAAATCGACAGACGACGTCTGTCTGATAAGACTCGGTGGTTCCGAACTGCATGGGCTACTTCTGACATTGCAAGCTTACTGGATGACAGCCGATGTTTGAGAGTCTTCATTTCATAGTCGTGATAAGAAAGAATGATTCCCAAGTATGGGACCTGATAGCGCAGCGATATCAGCCTGCCCGAAGGGAGTTCAACATACTTCTCTCCCTCGACCTGGCGAAAGAGTTTCTTCCTAATGGTCGAGGCTGAGCCCCCTTGCAGCTGTAGCAGAATTGCTGACTTGGACGGATTGACCTTGAACCCAAGCTCTACCAGCTGAT